TTACTGTTTATGAAACAACAGTCAGCAAATCGTTTCAATAAAAATTACCAGAAACCATTTAAATAATTTTTAAAAATTTTTAAATTTTTCGAGTAATGAAATAGCAATGCACAAGACAAAATTTAACACTGCAACAGAATACTATTGTAAAATAAGTTAATTGGAGAAAGTAAATTCGAGTGGCAGGTACATGTAAGCTTTAAACCGTGGTTAGAAACGTTAGTTTACTTCTTGTTTCTGGCAAGTCAAAAAAAACTTGATTGCTATCTCCGAGAACTGCAAGATTAAGAATTTCTTAGTTTGTCAAAATAATGTTCTCCTTATTAGTAGCCTAAGAAGGAAATCGTGAGCGGTAGAGCAGTATCCTATGATTTTCCAAAAAAATCATCTAAGATAATATGAATGACAGCAATTATTAGCTCTTTATTTTTCCAGGTAGTAGAGCAAAGAATGTCCGTGGAAGGACGACCCTGATGTCGTTCTCCCGTAGTTATGTCACTATTCTTTATTAGTACATAAACATACTATTTGTGCAGGGACGGAACGAAGAAGCCAAAAAAAAGATAAAGAAATCCACAATTTTGTTCTCCTTCGTTTAATTCAGAACAAGGATAACAAATAATACGTTGGTCCTCTTATTTCACTGTAAAATACCGAACAATTTTAATCAAAGATATACTCTAGGTGAATAAAACATGACCTTTAGGCAGAAGAAAGAAAAAGAGGGGATAGCACAGAAAAGAAGAGAATAGAAAACGATAATTAAAACAACAGACGCATCTCATGATTGAGAGATATTAATTAACACTGCCCTCTTTTTCAGAAGACTGAGCAGATCTCCGAAAAGAGAAAAAAAGAGAGAAGAACAAAATAGGAACTCCTTCGATAAATTTAATTATATTATAAATAACTCGAAACACGAACAAGAGGGAAGAAAAAAATAATGCTTTTGTCTTTTGGTTGTTATTTAACACGCGCATTCGCGTTCATTTATAGTCATGAATAATATTATATCCGCAAAATATTTATAAAGTTCGATATTAATAATAACTTGATTGCCTAAACAACTTTCTCTTAAATAAACATAATAAAAGACATATGCTCAAAGCAATAGTGGTGGAAGTAATTATAAAAATGATATCTTAAATTAAAATAGCTATAAGGTTAATTATGATAAAATCCTTATACTGCGTATAATCATCAAAAATAATAGTAATCTATATAATAACGACAACGCTTCGGCAAATCTTTATATAGAAACATAGATTTCATGCCGGATTTAGCGGTCTGTTTTGTATAATATAGGTCATGATGGTTATCAGGAACTTCAACTTTGACAACTAATGTCGAGAGTCTGCTTTTTATCAATAATTCGATAAAGATCTTCGTATTTTTCTTGTATTTTTATGTTTTATTAAACATTCCTGTCAGAACTTAATTAGTGATATAATATTTTAAATCAGGTCTATTTCAATCATGGCTATTCTTTTTCTAATTTATTATGATGTTGAATGTTTCATTTGGCATAGTCAATAATCATCCTTCTTAGATATTTTCTTTTACCATAATATTGAATTAGCTTCCAGAGTGATTTTTTAATTGTTTCAATACCACAATTTAGAGATTTTCTCTACCGAACATACTATGACAAGGAATCAACGTTGTTGTTTTAGGGTCATCAATTTTTGGTGTCAGTAAGGGTGTGGGTGTGGACGAAGACGAGACTGACACTCACAACCCTATCCCCACACCCAACGCATGTATTCATGTGGATTATTCGTGGTCTTATGATTCTACAAACTAAATATAATTTGGCCCTCGGAACAAATTAATTGAGTAAATTTTTTTATCAAAAATCCACTTGTGTATATTTACCCAGGTCAATTTCATCCTGTCGGATCCGACGACATCCGATGACATGAAAGTATCTATATAAATAGATACTTTATTCATCTATTTTATTTTATTTTTTCATTTTATTGTATTTTCATTTAATTTAATTTTGTTTTATTTTTCCTTTATTTCTTTTTTTTAATTTAATTTAATTTTATTGTATTTAACTTTAATTTAAGTTAATTTAATTTTATTGTATTTAACTTTAATTTAAGTTAATTTAACTTTTATTTATATATCAATTCAGCAGGTTTCCATCGGATTCCTAGTGCATCCGATGTTTTCCAACTATGGAATTCGACTGTCGAAAACCGTTGGGTCCCACATCCGACAACTTCCGATAAGATCCTATCGAAAATTGTCGGATTCTCCAGGGAATCCGATCGAATCCTACTGTCGAATTCTTTGTTCTGGCTATGTATCTTCAGTTGTTCTCGGATAAAATCCAATCATTTCTAGAACAAATATGAGTATTATCTATTCCATTTTTCTTATAAACTGTCAGATTTTATTCAAAAACAACTTACGATACATGAATATACAAAATATGAGGATTTTTAATTGAAAAAATTGCTTAACCAATTTCGTGCATATGTCATATTAAATCTATTTGTAGAATCATAAGATCATAGATTAGCAGGTTCGAACTATGATTACACCGTTAAAATATGACACTACCGCAGATATTCAAAAAATTACTGCGGAAGTACCATCGGTATAGCGCACATTATGTCGAAGGATCAACCAGCGGTATATCGTTGTTTTTTATTCAGTTTGAATCACATGCGCATTTACTAGAGCCCTGAACGGAGTTAATTTCGGAGTCAACTAAATTCTTTGCCGAAAATTCCATTTTAACATATGGACTTTTTCGGCTACTAGGTTTTGTTCTCTATATATACTTTGAAGTGTCCTCTATTGATCTATGAAAAAACTTCTTTGGAAAGTCTGTAGACCTCGAATGCAATGATTGTCAAGATCCGCATATCTTAAAAGACTCGATTTGTATTTCTTTTTTTAAATTCGTCTTTGTGTTAGATCTACTTATGTTATAAAGAGAAGTATAAGGATAAAAAGAATTGTTCTCTGTAGGTAGAAAACAAGCTTATCGGATGCGTAGTAGTCGAAAACCTACAATAGTTTAGACAGGATGAAAAAAGATGAATATTCCGGAGAAGAATGAAAATGAATTTTCTTTTTGCGTTATTTGTCGAAATCAAATTTTTAATCGAATAGAGTATTGTTTCACCTCCGTTTCTCGACCAAGGTAAGGAGGGTTGAGCTGAAACTTTTTCGATATAGACTGATCACTATTTGGGGTGTGTAATTGGTTTTATTTTAAAAACTTTTGCTCGAAAGACTTTCGCCAGCTGTCACAAAAATTGACTTAGTAGAAAAACAAGAATTTTTTTGGTACGTGAGGGATTTTTACATTTTTTTTATTGAAAAGACCAAAAATATAATCTTAAAGAAGACAGCCTTTGGGAACTTTCAGTTTAGCACAACTTTTGCTCTATCCTACAAGATGTTTTCCTTGAAAGTTTCAAAATTTTCAGATGCACCGTTCTTTAGAAATCTGGAAACGCAGGGGAGAGGGGGCGAACTTTTGTTGTGTGATTGTATTTTCACCGCAAATACCTTCCCCCATTAAGTTTATCGTATATATGTCTCAACAAAGGATGTAGGTGTATGAAGTTCTTCGCCTTTTCCATATTCAGTCTCTTATTTAAAAAAATGAATATCGATGTGCTAATAAGCCTGTTTAAGCAATTATAATTGTTACTGACATAGCAGTAGCATATGAATGCTTGGTTTGTTAAAATAGTCTTTCACTGAGTTCGTATTCTGCACGTGTTAGAAAAGCTAATATTTCGATTCAAACATATTCAAAATGTAATAACACATTTTGAATTTAAATGATGATAAATAATTCTGGCTTGTAAACAGGTTTAAGACAAGTTTTTTGCTTATAAAGACTTTCTATGTTTTACTGTGGTATGATTCTGTGTAAAATAGAAAAGTTGATTTCATTTTTCTTATTCGATTGATTAGTCTAGATTAGTTGTGCTTTTTTTTATTTTGTGTGTAACCTATTTACATTTTTGTACGTAAAAGCTAGAAGCTATAGTTGATGCAATGAAAAACTTTTTATTAAGCTTCTTTGTAAACATCAATAAAAAAAGCGCAAAAATTGCCAGAACAGCTTGGCTCGACTCGACTCGAAAAATCGTTTGACTTGCCTATAACTGTTCTAGGTTTTTCGTTTATTTAATATTATTCTTCAAATCTTGTTTCGTTGTTGTAAAATATTTCATAAATGAAATTACAAATATGAAGTAAGTTAAAACAATAAAGATTTCGTCTCATTAACACTATAAAATTGAACAGATCTTTTCATGTCATCAAGACATAACCATCAGTTTTTATAACTAAAAATATACACCTTATTATTATTAATATTAGTTTTTTTTCTTTATCGTTGTGAACATTGAAAAAACGGCATTATTTCTGTCACTTTTTAGTGTATTTGGAAACAAAAATATAAAGAAAAGAATATAATATAAAAAGTAAGAAATTGCATGTTCTTATTTATAAGCAGAAGTGTAGAATCCTCTCTAAAAAAAGGAAATTTTTCTCTAATATGCATTCATACATACGAACAGAATCTACATCATTGATTAGAAGCCTTCTTGATGACATTGAAAATTCTGCTCTAATTTCTTGATTTAATAAGAAAGAAATGCCTCCTATTTTTAATTTATTTAACTTATTAAAATTAATATTAATCTATCAAAAGTGAACTGAGAAAGAAAAACATCTGAAATATGAAAAAAATTATAATGATTACACGAAATAACTATAAACTTTTATACGCCTTATATTGCACAAATATAAAAGATTTGGGATAATCGTTAGGTAGAATACAACATTAGAGATCAATGTAATTGACCTATAATGATCCAAAGTCAATTTAGATGAATAAAATTCTAATTCAGTATTATATTTTTTTTTCTTTCCGCATACGATACGCTATGATAGTCGAAGTTGAAAACTGTCACTTGAAATTTTTATATTTTTCACATAAAAGTCATTTAATGTTTTTGAAAATGGATCGAAAACCAATCAAGCATTGGTAAATAAAAAAAACTTTATATCTATAAATTCTATCTTTTTTTTCTATATAGTAAATTCATTTAGTGTTAAAATTATTTCGTACTGCACTTACTATTTCGCAATATTGGCTTGATTCAACTGTAAGATCAGTTAATGTATTGGCATGCTACTGTACAAATTTGAAAACATCAATGAAGTCTCGTACACATTTCACTTTTAAATTTCTCAAAGGACATCGCCGGATAAGTCAAGAAATCTGACTTCCCCTGTTACGTTGTTAGATTTGAATGAGACGCAACTATTAAATATGCCCGGTGCCGCAATAATTTGAATTGGCAAATGACAAGAATAATATGAATAAATATCGAATATGAATCACGGTCCAAAGTATATTAGTAAAGAAGGAATTCGATAGAAATAACTTAATGAACAAGTAAGAAGTAGAAGTAAAAAGTTAAATTATTAAGTAGTCTTATTATCCCAGGAGGATCGCTCCGGTAGTCTGAAAGGCCATCGAAAACGGCCTGAAACGGCTATTAAACGGCATAAAACGGCACTAATTTTCACCCTATTTCGCCGTAATCCGTCAGCTCGTTTTACGGGCCGTGTTTTTTGCTAGAAAACGGCCATCGCTTTTAACACTATTCTCTTCGTTTTCCGCACTGACGGAAAACTGCGCCGTTTTTTAACGCTTTACATCGTTTTTATGTCGTTTCAGGCCGTTTACGGGCCGTTTTCTTCCACCTGAGATTTTATGAAAACAAGCGTGAGATAGATAAAATACTAATAATAATAATGAAGCGCGGAAAAAAAGCAAAACGAAATTAAAGACAGAACAAATATACAGACATGCACAAGAAGCATCAATATAATAAGATCAGTGACGATGTGGCCGTCACCCCCCCCCCCCCCCCCCCCCCCCCCCCCCCCCCAAACACACAAAAAAAACAACAAAAAGAATATATAATAATTATTTCTTTTTTTTTTTNAAAGTGTGAAAAAATTTCCCGTCCAAACAAATTTTTCAGGCCTTTCAAAGATTCCCTCACTACTCTCGAACAAAAACTGACAAAAAATTTCCAAGCTCATATTCAGAAATAGCACAAAATTCTGGTTTTAATCCATAGTTTTCGACTCGTCTGAAATATTTTCAAGTGGGTCAGATATAAACAAACATTTTGTGCGAAAACTTTCGATCCACCCGTTAGTAGTAGTAGTGGAATAAAGGCTGATGGTTTTCTTCCAGCACTTATTTTTATTGTATTAAAAGGTGAACCACCACGTTTGCATTCAAATATACAATTTTTGAGTCAATTTTCTCAACCAAATGGTGAACAGCTTTATTATTTAGCTAATCTTGTATGTTTAAACAAAAAAACAAATGAACTTTTTTCTTAATTTTTTTGTCTTCTTTAGGATTCAGCTGTTCATTTTATTGAACTTTTACAAGGTCAACATTCTATTTATCATCTCAGGATTTTTCACAATATATGCGTGGTAAACCTGTATTACCATCAAAATATGTTTCTCTATTTGATTCATCATGATCAAATGAATCAAATAATCAAGAATTACGAAAAATATTTATTCTTTATCATTAACTTGATTATCATTGTAAAAAATTTGATGAAAATCTTCTTGATTTTAATAGACGTTTAACACAAACAGTAACTGATGTACGAGAATTATTAAATGGTATATTTGTACGTTTTTCAAAATTAGAAAAAAATTCCATAATAAATTCATGTTCGTAATAATGAATAATTTGAAAATAAATAAAATATAACAATAAATCAAAATGATATTATTCATATGTTAGATCGATCAACATCAGAAAATGAATCTTTACCTGAACCATTTGCACCTGAAATTGTACAACAAATTATTATTTGAAACTTTTACTTTATTTTACTTGACTTTCGATGTTTGTTTTATGTGAACAGTGCTTGTGTATATAGATCCTTTTTTTCTATTGTTAAGAATGAGAAAATAAAAGATAATTTTTCGATTTTATATTCTCTATTTAATAGTAAATATGATAGAAGATGAACTTTTCTCTTCTTTATGTCAATTACAAATGATTTTGTCATATGAAAAAGATATGATAATCAATGAAAAAAGGTAGTTTATCTCTAGATTGAAAGAAATTTTCAAGTACGTTTTTAATTAATGAACGTTTTTATAAAAATAATAATTATTTGTTATGTACAAAAATAATGACGAATGATGTCTTCGATAGTCGATCGATATATTAGATACAGAATGGCGGAGGACGATGGTCAACATGTGCATCATCTTAGTCATTCTTCTGTTGCGTTGTATATAGACAATGCTAATAGTAGTGTTTATTGATCATTTTCACTCGCTCGAAACGATGACAACATTAACAGGAGTATGTCTTTCTATATTTTAATCCTCACGCTTACCGCTCACCCTCACACAGTATTTATTTAATATTATTGATTTTAGCTGATGGTTGTCTTGGTCGTGCATTAGATATTGAATTTGCACGTGAAGCTCGTTCTCTTGTTTTATTAGATGTACAAAAGAAACCATTAGATGATCTTAAAAATTCACTTAAACTAATCTATGGCAAAGACCATTGTTATATTTACACTTATCGATGTGATCTTGGGTTGATTTTATTTATTCCTAAAGCAAAAAACAATTGCTGAATTTTTAAAAATTCTGTAGTGATTTGAATGCACTCAAGTACACAATAACAGCTAGTTGCAAGGCTATTTGTGAACAATTAATTGATAATATTTCAGTATCGATCAATTGTGCTGGTAAATATTATTTAAAATAAAGATTCTTTATATAAAAATAATTGAATTTATTTTATATTTTATAGGAACAGATCATATTAAAAGTCTTATATCTCACACAGATGATGGATATCAATAAACATTAATCGTCAATACAATTACCCTAATATTTGTATAATTTATTAAGAATTTTATAATTAATAGATTACTAAAGATTTACTTGGTGGAATGATATATCGTAATTATGGACATATTGTTAATGTTGTCAGTAGTGGAGCATTGAATGAAAATACTTTTAGTTCATCCTATTCATCTTCAACAGCAGCTTTATTCAGTAAGTTCTTTTGTGAATTGTTTTTAATTCTTTTTTTCCAAAATTAATTGATAGATTTTACGGAAATGTTTAGTCAAGAATTAATGTTTTCTAAGGCAACTGGTGTTCGAAGGACAGCTATTTTACCATTTTATCTTCATGGTGGAATTTATACAACACTACGTAAGTAGCAAATATTATTTGAAATATTGAGACTTTATAATATGAAAAATATTTTTGTTTAGTGTGAAAGAGAAAGTTTTACGTGTAACTCTTGAACTTTTTGATGAAACGCCACATGCAATTGTATGTGTAATTAAATCAAGTCGTAGCCTAATACTTTTACCGTCATTTCAATAACATATAGCTCGTTTATTACTCGCGTAAGTTCACATAACTCTTCTTCTACAAATGGTGAACATGTTTTTATTTATATTATGAAATCTAGAGTGTACTTTCGGATGAAGGTTGGAATCCATTTCTTTTATATGTTCTTGGTCTTAGACCAACATTTGTCAATCATCATTATACAATGCTGTTAATTCACGATCTACATTTATTTATTTTTTTCTCTTTGTTTCTTATTATGGTTATTATTTTTTTTGACTGTTTTTTTTTATTTCTTGTATTTACTGTTAGAAACGACAATAGAACTGAGTTTGTCTTTTGTAGATAAATCATGTCATCAACACAATATGCTAATTTTAAATTTTTTATCAATATTCCCGGTGAAATTGGAAGAAATTTCTTACATCCACCATATGTATTCAAGTACATGCGTTATTCTTTGGATCCCAAATATAAAAAAGAAAGAAAAATAATAAATAAAAAAAGCTGCAAATTTATGCTATTCCAACTGAAGCTCACTTAAGATATAAACAAGCTAACACGAATGAAAATGGTTATAAATTTTTATTAACTATTACGGACAATAATGGAATAAGATTAGAACCAAATTTACAAAATTAATTTATCAAAAGCAGGTCAAATGAAAACTAATCAACCAAAAATTTTGAATACATTTTTTATGAAGATTTTAAAGAAAGAAGAAGAAGAAGAAGAAAGTGATGATGATAAAGACATTTCGTTTTAAACAGTATCATTATATTCGTTCACGTTTTAAATAAAAAGAACATACTTTTATCTCTATTTTGTTCCTTTTGATGAAAGTAATAATTCAGTATTCCGTTCTTGTCTTTGTCCAAATATTCCAATTTCTTCTCCATTTATTGTCCATAAACGTGCTGTATGATCAGTTGATCTAGTTAATATAAAACTACCATCTCCTTTATAATTAGTGCATTGACAAAAAATAATTGGTGATAGATGTCCTTGTCAAGAATGTACAAGTGGTGGTGTTATTCAATCAAATAAAAGAGGTGATGTTGTTGAACAACAATAGTCTTCTATATTTCATATATGTATTTCATCACGAGTATCACCCCAAATCAAATGTCGATTTGTTGCATCAGTACATATAGCTAATATCGATTCACCTGGTATAGATGGTCAATAAAACATTCCCATATCTTTACGTTCACCATAAAGTGACCACCAGTATAGATTACCAGTTTCACTTGATATTAAAGACTTATCAATATCAAAAATAAACACTAATAACTTTTTTTTTCTGACAATTCTATACCATATTTTATATTTTCTTTAGCAGAATATCGAAGAAAGAGAAGTTTATCAAGAGGTGCTGGACCTTGTATTATTGAACGATGTGACGATGATCGACTATAATTTGATGGTTCACGACGACTAAAGTTCAAATAGAAAATAATTGAAGTATAATCAAATATAATATTCTTACAGTTCAGCTTTTAGTGCTTTACGTAAACATAAGGTATGGCAAAAAAGTTCACGACAATTTTTCCATCGATATAAATAGAAAAATTTTTGAGAACTTTTTTCAATAAATTATACCACAAGATGCAACGTGAAAAGCTCTACAATTTACATAAGACCGCTTATTTTATAATTGCACTTTTTGTTTTCAAAATAGACAAAATTTTGAGCGATCAAATTTTGACCACGTGAAAACGATATTTTTTTGGTACAGGTGAATTTGCTTTTTGTTATTTCATCTTTTTATAATTGTTCTTTGTAAATTGTAGAGCTTTTCACACTGCATCTTGTAGTGCATTTAATTTTCTTTTTCAATAAAGGATATCAGGTACTAAATAAAAAAAGAGGCAATCCTCATGTGCCAAAAAAAGACGTTTTCGCAGTTTCAAAATTTAGTCGCTCAGAATTTGTCAATTTTGAAAACAAAAAGTACAAATGTAAAATAAGATCTTCTAAGTAAATTGTAGAGCTTTTCAAGCTGCATCTTGTAGTACACTTTGGTTTTTTTTAAATAAAATATATCAGGTGGTAAATAAGAAAAAAAACGAATTGGTCGTGTTTTGAAAAAAGACTTTTTCGCATGGTCGAAATCTAGTCGCTGAGATTATTGTCAAAAATACAACGTTAAAGTGAGCTGTCCTGTGTAAATTGTAGAGCTTTTCACGTTGCAGCTTTTGGTATAATTTATTGAAAAAAGTTCTCAAAAATTTTTCTATTTATATCGATAGGAAAATTGTCGTGAACTTTTTTGCCATACCTTATAACTAATTTTTCTGTATCAATACTCCATACATTAATTTCATCATCATATGAAGGTGTATACATTAAATTACTAATTGTCAATAGATGTTCTAAACATGATATATCATCACGATGTATCTGTGAACCATGCGATGATAAATCAGCTTTAGGTACAACAAGCTAAATAAACAAATAAAATTCATTATTTATTTATTTGAAATGTTATTTCAAAAAACAAATAAATTAATAAGTTAATTCAATCCGTGCATCAATCTTTATTTGAAGATATGCCATTTTGTCTCATTCTATTAATACCTCTAGAGGATTCGTCTGATCATTAATTATATCCTGTAAATGTATGTATATTAATAAAAAAGAAAAATAACATAAAAAAAAATAATTATTTACCTCAGAAACAATATCAGAATATATAACAATTTTTCTAAGCCACCCAACTGTAATAATACCTTTATCAGCAAAAACAATTCCTGTTATTTCTGCATCTTCTACACTTGCTAATACATGAAAGTTTTGTCCATTAGCACTATTCCAAATCTTAATAAAATAGAAAAACAATGAAAAAAAGAATACAACTAAAAGAAAATCTTACTTTAACATCACCGTTTCGAGCTCCTGTTTCAAGTTTTCGACATAATCGATCAGTAGGAAATACATGTTATTTCTTCACCATCATGTGCATCAAATATAAAATAAGCTTTACGTCCTGATTCAATATTCCATGCACCCATACTTGAATTATCTGCACATGTTATTAACTTTAATATAGATCATAAATGATATTTTTTTTTAAATGAAAATCAAATAATTGCTTGTCTAAGTTTAGAATTCTATACTGCACAACTAACCGATGCTGTATGTGTTTCAGTTAAACTACCATCGTTTCTAGATGTATCTTGTCCTAATTTCATTATACATAAATAATCATTACATGCTAAAGATAAACCACGGGGTAAACTTTTATCAGCGTTATTAGTTGATTTATTTAGATATAAATCAATTGGAAATAGACCAAAATTTGGTGTTTTACCACCTAATGTACTAGGAAATCATATCGGAATTGTTTGAAGACAAAAAAATTCTTATAAATTCCAAACTTTAATAACCTATACAATGATTTAAAATCTTACAAAAACAAGAATTTTTAAAGAAAAAAACATACAACATCTTTGCTAAATGTATAACATCATACTAAACGTTCATTAATTTTAATATGAATTACTGCTGCATGATGTTCTTCTAAAATGACTATATTTTTGTGTTACACATGGATTTCAAATACGTGCCAAATAATCAGCTCCAGCAGTTATTAAAACATTTAATACTGTATTGTAATCAAACCATTCACATCCCTATAAGACTAGGATTTTTTCATGTAACAATATTTTATATTTATTTACCTAATATAATCAAAAAAATCTAAGGTTTGTTTAATTTGTTGATGTTAGTAATAAGTAAAGAATTTCGATGATCTCCACTTAATGTAATAATTGAATTATAATGTGATACATATAATATCTTCGGAAGATATTCTCAATGAATAGCACCCATGCTATGATATTTTACAAATTTCTCATGTTCTTTTAATTCCTATATGTATAAATAGAAGAATAACAGAAAACAGTTTATAGAAAATTTCTATATCCTAACATCCCAAGCAAATACGTTGAATAGAATTCGCTGGTGATTTATCAGATTTCATTAGATCTGATTTCCGTTGAACTGGACCAAATAGAGAACTAATTGAATTTTTAAAATATAATATATGAATAAAAGTACAATCATCACCAAATATTAAAGCTGATTGACTATTTGCACTCTAAAAAATACCAATTTTGTTTGTTGTGTCTCTTAATAAAAAAAATTAATTATTTTGTTTTACCGTAGTATTTGGATAAAATATTCAAGACAAGTAGGGACATTTTTAATACCTTAAACAAAATTTAAAATTTTCAATTCTTTGTTGTTCTATTAGACTTACGAAATAACATGAATTCTTCAAGAAATGTTTCACTTGAAATAGTCAAAAATCGTAAATCTGGACTAGTGGATGCAAATACCAATTTATGTGTATCAGGCATATGAATAGCATCAGTTACCCACATTCCAGCTTGTCGACGATTTTGTCCAATTCCACTTACATTACTACTTGTACCATCATCAAGTTCATCAGCAGCTGAATATGTTTTTTTCTAGATGAAGATTTTGTGTCCATAAGCCTAAATAACCTTCTTTACTGATATTAATAAATTTAGTTCGATTTTCTAAACGAAGAATTTTTGCTATCAATTCTTGCTAGAACAAAGAAAAGAAAATGATTTTTTGTTCAGAAATAATATATATAATAGAAACTTTATTATGAGGTACATATAAAATTTTTCGTTCATTATTATAAGATAATGTACAAAGAGTATTTGCATAATCTTCTTCTTGATAAAATTGAACAATATGTCTACAAAAATCAATCCTGTTTCGTTTTGAATTGAGCTAGATGAAAGAAAAAACATTTATTTATTTCATAATAATTGTTTTTATATATACTTTATCAAATAATTTCTCCAATTATTTTTCCATATTGAATTGGATCTAATATAGATTGAAATGATGAAATAAATTCTTCTTTATTTAATAAATCTATCAATTAATAAAATCTATTATATAAATATTAAGAAAAATATTTTCTTGCCGGTTATTTTATCATTTGCTCTAGTAGTATTTTCAATATTATCAATTGTTGTACGATTAAATTGTTCACGAAGAAGACGAAAATCTTCAACACGTTATTTTTTCTTAACAGTCAGTGTATCATTACTAAATATAACCTATATATTTAACATTAAGATTTTTATTTATCTTATACTTTTATTCTTCTTAATAACATCCATCGAAAAAGAAGAAGTAAAGAACTGTTGTTCCTTCTATTGTTACTTATCAAATTACTCTACTTCTATTCTTCATATATTCGATAGAGAACAACTGAAGAAGAAAAAACGAATGACAGTAAAGCATAGAAATTTGAGAAGATACAAATTCGTAAATGTACTCGACAGCATAAGATATATATTGTCTGTCATTTTGAAGAAGCAGTTGATCATTAGCGAGTGCAGTTATTCCATCATTTACGTTTTGAATTTAAGCTTGCATTTATATCTGTTATACATTAATTTTTTTTATCCTTTTCTTGTTCGTTTTGTTGTCGAAAAGATTATTGTTATTCTTAGCTAAATACTGACAACAACATTATTATCGATAAAATTGTTGACGACATCAAGCAACACAAGTTTCTTTTTATTGCTTCTTCCTTTCAAGTTTTTTTCATGCTTTATCATTATTTATCTATGGCATGTTGTTGTTTTTTGCGCTCGTTTCTGTGATTGTCATCTTGTTAAACATCAATCGTCATTTACGTTAGAAAAATCTGATCATACGCATTGTATAAATAAAACAGACGTATGTCATTTTTCAATCGTCGTCCAAACATCCCAGTGAAAACTTTTCGCGATTTTCAATCGGATTTTTGTGCAACAAAATCAAAATTAAAATCGATTGATAATTTTGATTATTGTTGATCATGACTTAACTATTATTTGATATTGTTGCTTATCCAGTGTAAAATTTTCTGATTAAAATCGGATTATTCTGTAGCAAAATCAAGATTATAAATCGATTAATAATTTCGATTGTGCTGCAAAATAATCCGATCTTAATCAGAAANAAATATTTTTTTCTTTTATTCAACTACATTTTTACAATGAATAATTATTCCAATTTTCATTATCAATTTTATTTTATATACTTTTATCGCATTTTTTTTGTTTGTTTTTGTGGGTGTATGTCTGATAATATTCTTTGATATTTGAATCTGGTTTAAATGAAAATATGCATTTGGTGGTTTTTTACATTTATATGTAGGATTTATTTTTGAAATAGAAAAATCTTGAATAGTAACTAAGATAGAGTATTGCTAAGTATGCATTTTGGCTCATTTGTTGACGGTTGATGTATATATATATATATTTATGATGATTCGTTTTGAATTGAACAGCTGAAGACACGTTATTTTAGAGGAGGATTTCATTATTGGAGATATTATTGATCAGTTATTATCCATTAATTTTTCATTGAATCGCTCTAATTGTAAAACATTCTTTTCTTTAACTTCAGAAAGAAAAAACTAAAGATAATGCAAATGAAAACATGTGAATATATTCTTCATCATATTCTACCACCAGTCCGTCATGCTTGTCTTCTTGTGCCTGAATTAACATTAAGTATACTAACATCATCTCATCCTCTTTGGCATGTTCCTTATGAAGAAGCAATGGCTAAACTAGATCGATCCGATCCATGGTGGGCTTTTCTTTGGCCTGGAAGTCAAGGATTGGCTCGGTATGCATTTTATTTATTTGTTTTTTTTTCCTGTACAAAAACTTATAGTTATTGTCAATAGTTATTTGTTAGATAATAATTCATTAATTCGAGGACGTCGTGTATTAGATATTGGATGTGGATGTGGTGCAAGTGCAATCGCTGCCAAAATGGTAGGAGCAATCAATGTAATCGCCAATGATATTGATAAAGGTAAGTAACTACTTTGTAAGTTTGAATAGTAATTATTAATCCTTATTGTTAATTTTTTCAAGATGCACTGATCGCCACTTGTCATAATGCTCGATTGAACAATGTCACGATCGATGAGTTTTCTTCTGACAATCTTCTTCAAAGTCCATTATTGACTTTCAACAAAGATACAATAGATTTGCTCATCATTGGTGATATGTGTTATGATGATGAACTTGCGAAACAAATATTAAATTTAATTATTGCTGCCCATCAATATCACATTCATGTATTACTTGCTGATCCCGGTCGATATAGTTTTAAATCGATTGTTGTTAATCAATTAAAAGATAAAATGAAACGTACATGTGAATATCCGATTGTTGATTGTGATTATATAGAATCTGATTTTGAGACAATACAAATTTGGACAACATGATCTATGAACATATTTTGATTATGAATTTTTTTTTCTTCATTTGAATGATGATTAAATCTTTAAATAACATTCGACAGAGACAAGAAAAAGTATTTAACTGAAACTATATATAGTTAAGATTTATTCAGAAATACATTGATAATGATTATGAAATTTATTTTTATTTTTCTCTTGATTGATATTATTTTTATTTTATTGTAATTTTAAGAATCATAAAAATACTGATAAAATAATTGACAAGAGATGTTAGTATTTATGGATCAAATGAAAATTAATTTCTTAGCAATAATCGACTAAAATTAAATCTAACTTCTTGAAATCATCTGTCATTTTTGTCAGTTCTTTTTTATTCAAAAACAAATTCATACTTCTAAATGTGTACTTTTGTAAAGATTTACTTGCCTCTTTTTTTTTCGTACTCAAATAGGACTTAACACAAATCATCTGGAGAAAACTTAATTTTTTAAGAAATGTGTTGTTCGATCAGTTGACTAACAACAAATTGAAGCCACACAATAACTTTGAAAAATGATTTGTACACCAACAGGGATTCTAAACAAATAATAAACAATCAAATATATAATAGATTTTCACTATTACATGCTGCTTCTCTCATCAAATATTCAGTATGATTAGTATTGTTTGATTTTGAAGTTGTAATAAGGAATAGAAGAACTATAAAAACTTCATACAGTTATTCTCATGTAAAAGTTGACCAAAATTTTACTGAAAAAAAAAAGATGTTATTATTAAAGCTGGGCATAGGACAAGACAGAAACAGTTGTCATATGTTCACTTCTGAATCAAATCAACGAGAAATTGTCAAATTGTTACACAAGAAATTTAAAAAAAAAGATTTATTTAGTCAGTTGAAATCAATTAGTTTTGGTGTCGAAGAAGAAAATGCAGGATAGGTAATTGAAACAGCTTCATTTTGTGATTAAAAAAAATCGGCATATTTGATCGTTATCTGAATTTAGAACTTGATAAATCAAAACTGAAATCAAATCGTTTGCCATTTTAGAAGGAGAATCAAAATTAATTTTCCTGTTTTTCTTGATATGCCCAATCTATTCACTCAATATCTGCTACATCAGCTAGCATTAAGAAACAATTCTCAAAAGCGAGATTAATTATACAAGAAAGAAGAACTGACATTAATTCTGAATTACTAAATAAAATCTCATTATTTAAGAGAATGTAAAAAGATAAAATATTTTTATAAAAACATTTACTTTCGTTGGTTTTGAATATTATTTTCTTTTTTTGTATCTTCTTTTTTTTTCACCAAGTACTTTTCCATAGTTCTATTTGCTTCATTGATAGCAATTACTATGTATTAAGATAATTATGATAAAATTAGACAAATTCACATATTATAAATTTATTTCCTGTGATGAACGTGTCATTAAAATAATAACTCAAGATATTTCTATATTTTTTATTATTTATTATCTTAATCATTATTGTAGATTTTAGTTGTTGTATTTGAAAATGATTTAAAATAAATTAGCTATATAATAACAAATATGTAATTTTATGATCGAAAGTCAAAACAAGGATTCTTACCGTACTGTTCTGTCATATGCTAGAACAGAGTAAGACATCAGAACAAGACAGACAAAGTTTTTCTGTGCTCACCTTTGATCGTTACCTTTGTTTTTTATTCTAAGAATGTGTTGCAAAGTTGTTTGAAACGAAATCTTACAAGTCATAGCACGTTAAACTATTTTTAGCGGACAAAAACTCGTAAAACTTAAAAAACAACAACTTTTAATGTGTTTTCAAGGTCGAAAAAAGTGAGAAGAACAAATTTTTTTTAGTTAAATTGCTAAATTTTTATTGCTTTTATGCATGGTTTGTATGTTTAAGAAGTCTACACTTGATTTTATGGAAATATAGTATTGTCATCAATAAATCGGTCTTTCGATTGCTTTTTGTTGTCTCGCTCGTTTGATATAATGGTTTTTAACTTCTTCAGATCTTTCATTGCATGGACGATCGCATTACCAATTTTTTTTCTCTTCTTCTTCGTCGTCTTTTTTTTCCAATGTTTTTTAATTCTGCTTTATGTTGTCGCGACTGCCAAAAGAACAAGAGAACTAAGTGACGGTTGCTGTTTAACAAGGTGACAACCAAAGAAACGAGCACAAAAAAAAGACAACATGCTATACATAAATGACGATAAAGTATTGAAGAAAAAAAAAACTTAAAGAAAAGAAGTACTATAAAAAAAAAGTCTTGTTTTGGTTTATGTCGACAACAATTTTATCGATAATGATGATGTTGTCAGTATTTAGTCGACAATAATAATAATAATATTTTAGACCATTAGACAAACAAGAAAATAGTAAAAAAAAAGAAAACGCAACTGAAGTCGAATGACTACGAACACAAATTTAAATACTAAAACTGAAGATGAAACAACTGCGTTAAACAACAAAGAAGCTCTTCTTCAAATAGACAGGTAATTTATATGTATACTATCAAGAATATTAACGAGTTGAAATATTCTCAAATTTCAATGCTTCACTATGATTTGTTCTTTTTGTTATTCTCTTCTCTATCAAATATGAAAAGTTAAAGTAAAGTAATTTGATAAGTTGTAATAAGAAGAATAGCAGTTCTTAGTTTCTTCTTTTTCTTAATGTATATCACTAACAAATTCAAGTATGAGAATAATAAAATACGAGAAAAATATGTTATTATTAAATCTATCTTATATTTAAGTAATGGATCGCTTACCATTGAAAAAAAATTACGTGTCGAAGATTTTCGTCTTCTTCGTGAACGATTTGACCGTGCAACAATTCACAATTTTGAGACTAATACGAAACCAAATGATAAAACAACTAGTAAGAATAATATTTTTCTTCATGTTTATATAATATAAAAGTTTTTTATTTTATTCATAATAGGTTCATTAAATAAAGAAGAATTTATTGAGTCATTTGAATCTATATTAGATCTAGCTCAATATAGAAATCAATTAGAAAAATTATTTGATAAAGTATATAATTAAATTTTTATATAAAATTTTATTTTATTTTTGATTTATCTAGCTTAATTCAAAAGAAACAGGATTTATTAATTGGAATGATTTTTGTACATATATGCTTCAATTTTATCAAGATGAAGATTATGCAAATACTCTTCGTATATCACCTTTTAACAACGAACCAAAAATTCGACACGTCGCTCATAATAAGGTTTTTATTATATTTTTATTTAAGAAAAAAATTTATAAGATTTTTTTATTTTTTGTAGCAAGAATTAACAGCAAAAATTCTTCATTTAGAAAATCCAGTTAGATTTATCAATATAAGTAAAGAAGGTTCTTTAGGTTTATGGACACCAAATCTTAATCTAGAAAAAATATATTCTACTATTGATGAACTTGATGATGGATCAAGTGGTGGTAATACAAGTGGCACGGGACAAAATCGTCGTCGAGCTGGAATGTGGATAACAGATGCTATTTTTATGCCTGATGTACATAAATTAGTACTTGCATCCACTAGTCGAGATTTACGTTTTTTTACTATTACAACTGAAGCATTTCTTGAAGATTTTGTATTATTTGGTAAGTCTAGATGAATGAACAACAAATGAGAAGTTTTCAATCGAATTTATTTTTTTTTTCAAGGTCTTAAAAATGTACCTACTTGCCTTGAATATAATCCAACTCCGACGGCAAGCAAAAATAATTGATTTCTTCTTTTTTTAGAATAAATAAAAAAAAAAAAAAAAATTTTCATATTTCTAGGGTGGCAATAATGAATCAGCTTTAATATATGGTGATGATAGTGGTTTTATTCATATATTATATTTTAAAAATCCCATTAATTCTCTATTTGATCCAGTTCGACGAAAAACAGATCCAGGAAAATTTGATAGAATGTCTGCAAATCCTACTCAACGTATATTTTGGGATGTTAGTATATAAAAATTTTCTGGACAAATTTTTTTTTTTAAATTTATATGAATTTATCCTTTATAGGAATTAAAAGAACATGATAAATTTGTTAAATATCATAATATGGGTGCTATTCATCGAGAATATGTTCGTAAAATACTTTATATACCACATAATAATTCAATTATTGCATCAAGTGGTGATAATCGAAATTCTTTGATTATTACTAATATAAACAAGTTAAAGAAGCCTTATATTTTTCGATTATATAAAGTAAATAAAATAAAAAAACTTTCTCCTATGAAAATAAAAAACGAAACTCTTATTTATTATTATTACTGTTGTTTTTTTTTTAAAGGGATGCGAATGTTTTGATTATAGCAAAGCATTAAATATTTTAATAACTGGTGGTGCTGATTATCTTGCACGTATTTGGAATCCATATGTAACACAAAAAAATATAGCTATCTTAGAGGGACATCATGCAGCAGTGATTGATATTAAAATTAATGAACGTTTAGCACAATGTTATACATTGAGCCAAGATGCTGTATGTTGTTTTTTTCTTTCATAGAAATTTTATTTTAAATCTTATATTTTTATTATGATATAGATGGTTAAAGCTTGGGATTTAAAAGAATTCTTTTGTCTTCAAACAATTCCTATTCGATTTCCGACTACATTAGGTGGAAAAAAGCCAACATTTGCTCCATTTGCCATGGATTTATATCTTAATAAATTAACTAATAATACGGAAACAAGTTTACCCGGTGGTCTAGTTTTAGCATGTAATGATTATTTATGTTTAATGAAATTAGGACATGATATATCTAAAGATGGTAGTCTAACTGAAACACATACAGCACCAATTAGTTGTGCAGTATATAATCCTAAACTTAAACAAGTAATTTTTTAAAATTCTATTTTGATAAATATTCTTCATTGTACATATTTAAGTTAATAACATGTGCGGATAATTCAAGTATAGGTGCATGGGATATTGAATCAGGTCGTAAAGCATATTTTATAGTTGATGCACATGATGGTGAAGAAATTACATGTGTTTCTATTGATCGATCATGTCGAAAACTTGCAACAGGTGCTCGGAATGGTGTTATTAAAGTAAGATTTTATTATAATAGTATTGTATTTCATTCTGTTTTGTATCTATTAAGATTTGGAATACTGCTAATGGTCAAAATCTTCTTATATTACCAAGTGTACAAGATGCAGAAATTACGGGTATTCTTTTTTTTGATAAAGGCATTATTACAGTTGGATGGTCAAGAAAAATTGTTAAATATCCAGATATTATTTCTGAAGTAAGAAATTATATCTTTTGACTTTGTTTTTATTTTCGTTTTGTTTTTTTTTTTTTTGTTAATTACTATATATACATTTGCAGGATATAAATGATGATCAGATGAATGATGTAGAGGTATTTTTAATCGAATGAGTAAACATGACATATGTTCACAGAGGAGTTGATGCACATATTGAATTAACACATTAATATATTTGTTTTTAAAAAATAGCAACATGTTTGATTTGAAAGAAAAAATGAATTATAGATTTCATTTGATTTTTATATCTTTATTTAGCTTGTTGTACCTAAAGCTGATTTATCATGGCGTGGTTCACAAACACATCGTGATGATATCTTATGTTTGGAACATTTATTACCGATTAGTAATATAATGTGTACAGCTTCATATGATGGTGAAATTAATGTATGGAGTATTGATACAGAAAAATTAGTTATGTGTTTACGTAAAGGACCAACAACTGAACTGTAAGAATATTATATTTGATCATATATTTAATATTATTATTTTTATCTAAATTCTAGTCGTCGTTCACCATCAAATTATCGTCGGTCATCATCTCGTTATTCAATAGCACGTGGTCCAGTACCAGTTGATAAACTTCTCTTTCTTCGACATCGTGCTAAAGAAAATATGAAACTTGGTGCGTAATTATTAAAGAAAGAAAAAAACAAACCATCATTTTTATTTCTCATATGATTAGGTGTTTTAATATCAAGTGAAGGTGGTAATCTATACTGTTGGTCACTTTATGGTGAACGCAAGAATATGGGAATGTTTTATGGCCCATCGAAACCGGGTGAATCAATATTAGCTATGTGTACTGATGCAACTAATCGATATTTGATATGTGGTGATACTCATGGTGAAATGCGTGTATGGAATATAGAAAACTATTGCTGTTCAACAACATCACCTGTTCTATTTGATTCAACTTCACCACCACTTATACATTTTTGGCAAGCACATATTTCACCAATTATCTTTTGTGAATGGACTGATTATAAAGGAAGTGGGGATTTTATATTAACTGGATCAACAGATCATACAGCACATTTATGGACAATAAATGGAGAAGAAATTGGAATATTTGGACAAAGACAACAATGGGATATTGAATTATTACTTTCATCAAGAATAACAAATGATGATGAACAAATAGGAGAAAAAAGTGAAAATAACAATGAAAATGATCAAAATGGTTTGTACAAATAGAAATCATAAACGATTATGAATAGAAATTCTTTTTAAATTTTAATAGACATAAAATTGACAACAACAGATAAAATTAATTATTTACAAGTGCCTGAAATTGCTATAAACAAAGACGTTGGCGATAAACGACCATTATCGTCAACTTCTCAAAATTCTGATGTATATTTACAAATATATATATATATGTATATTTCATATTTTTATATACATTCATTTATTGCACTAGGTTACTAGCCTATCTAAGACAAGTGTATCTACATTAAATAAGACAACATTACCACCGGTATGAATATATCATTGAATATCTATTGTTTTTTTTTTGTAATATTACATAATTTCTATATTTCGCAAAATGATTTCATTTAAGATAAAATAAATTCATTTTTCTAAAAGTATTACAAAACTAAGTTAAAATCTTTAATAAATTTATAATAATATTATTATGAAATTGATTTTAGCGTGTGAGTGGACTTGGCTTACCAATTGAACGAGGATTAAATCAACAAAAATTACAACGACAAGAACGACGTCATCGTTTTAGTGGAATTGATGGTCGTCATTTGACCAAAGGTGGTGTCTGTTGTACTCCATTCGCTTTACTTTCAACTCTGGTATCAAATTTAATTTATCTATTTGTACTTTTATCTTGATTAATTAAATTCTATTTATTAATTTAGGATATTGATGATGCTATATCTAATATAAATTATTCGAGTTTTCAACCAAAATCAATAGTCATAGAAGAATTATACATGGGCAATAAAAATGATTTACCATCAACAACAAATTTATCATCGAAAAATCGACTTGTTCTACCATCAATAATATCACGTCAACGAACATCATCATCATTTGCAAGTAATATAACTTCAACACCAGGAACACCATTCGATGTTGACACAAATAATCGATTTCCATTGTCATCAAGACAAACTACATTTATGAAATCGATTTCAGAAATATCATAAATACACTTTTTTTTGAATTTTTTCTCTCTTTATTCTTGATAATTGTTTATAACAAGCAACTTTTTTTAAATATATTTTTTCATTTGTTCTTCTACTTCAAGTCATAGTTCATGCATGCTATTTCATCTTATTGTCAATCAAATAAAATATGACAGTCAAGACTTGATTGAGTATAAGTCATATAGAAGAATAATTATTCAATCTACATAGGATAGCTAAAATACTCTCGCAGTAAGAACCTTAAATTTCATACTCTTCGTACAGTTCCTGACCGAGTTTATCGATCTTCAAGTGGATGGATGTCGTTGGAAGATTATTCTCGAAATGGATGTTCAATAATCGTTGTTACTGAGCAAAGTATTGATACTATTAAAGATTTGGTTAATGGTGATTTATATATTAGTATGGATTATATTGCTATCATCTTAGATATATCATGCGACAGTCTAGATACTATTCTGAAGCAACAGCTTGACTTACGAAAAATATCGTCAAGATTAATACTTCATGAGTTTATTTCAAGTCTCTTCGCGATGTTTCTTTGTTTATTTTGACATACTGAAGAACACGTTGGATACATCTTTTTGCCAAGTATCACATCGATGGTATACGCCAGAGTGGTAATCCCCGACCGGTAAAAACCGGCGAATACATAAAGTTTTTTTCATGTGATAAAATTGATATTAAGGATAAAATGTCGTTCTAAATACTTACAGATTGTTAGACTTGTCTTTTTCGGACTATTTATATTGTAATTAATCTGATTCTAAATTCGATTATATGACACTCAAAGACAAAAATAGACGGTCCTACCCAGGATTATAACCGATCGAGAATTTTTGAACTAGTTCAGTTCTTCCAGTAAGAGAAACCATGTTCCAAACGTTTATATCTGTTTGGTTTCTCAAAGATGAATATGTTATATATGTATAAATAGGATGATGAAAAAGTCAATTTATCATCTGACTGATTCAATAATTTCTGCTGTTTCTGAAAACAACAATTTTCAACTAAATAATTATTTTTTTCTTTTTCAAAAATAAATTCCATATATAAATGCACAAAACACAGAAAAACTAAAAGGCACCAAAAACCACAAAATGCATATTTTCATTAAAACGAGATTCAAATATCAAAGAATACTATCAGACATACACCCACAAAAACAAACAAAAAAAAATGCGATAAAAGTATATAAAATAAAATTGATAATGAAAATTGGAATAATTATTCATTGTAAAAATGTAGTTGAATAAAAGAAAAAAATATTTATAAAACTTGATAAATAGTAATATAATCATAATGAAAAAGTTTTTTAAAATATGGTTGAGGATGAGATTGAAGAGTTTGACATGCAAGAATTGTACGTATTAATATTTTTTGATCTTGTTCATCAATATCATACATTTCAGGAAATGAACATCCTTTTGGACGATTTGTTATTGTACACCAATGAGATTCATAAACATAATAATCAACTTGATATTGTTTTAATATTGAATGAATATAACGAAGTGGTTTTCTTGAAAACATTGTATAAATAAGTTTAACATGATGACGAATTTTTCCATGTTCATAATGAGGATGAACAACAATTGAACGACCTGTTGATAATTTTAAATTAGCCATTGTTGGCATTGTACCAGCAAATATTGATTCATTTCGAGTATTTAAATTAATCCATTCAATCATTTTTTCCATTGGATAATTCGAATATTCACCTAGAAATAGAATTTTATAAATATCATTATATTATTTTTATTTTATCTTTCAAAAAAATAAAATATTTTACGATTTCAGAAAAATAATATGGAAACAAAAAAAGAAATTTATCTTAATTAGTAATATATCAAGAAAATAACTATTCAATAATCATAGTAAAATTTATTTTTACCTTTGATTTTTAATTGTTCTTTGATATTTTTTCGTCCTTGAATACTCATGCTAATAAGAATCAAAATAAAAAGTATAAATTTCGTTTTTTTCCAATTAATAATTTTTCTTGGCCATAATTGTTCATTCATGAATAAACTTATCAGAAGACATAATTGTGAAACAAGAAATAATTTTAAACGCATTATTAATAAAGCCATCAATAGATAAGCACCTGTTTGAATAATATGATAATAATTTGATATTTGTTCATTTTTTTTATCATTTATTCGAAATAAATCAATAATAAAATCATAAAATAATCGAAAGATAATTATCATTGAAAATGGAATAAGACCAGTTTTACATAATTTTATTATTGTTTCAATATCAATAAAATCAAATTCTTTTGCACATGTATATAATTGTGTATCAAATGTACGGAATGTTGAAGAAAACTTTGACTTTAATATATCCCAAATATGAATATCATCATAAGCTATCGAAAACAAAGAAAAAGAATCATTTGATGAATCAAGAAAGAAATCATCCACAAGACAAACCAAATAAAATGAGAATAATATGAATATATGAGAATAGAAAGAAAAGAGAATAATCAGAAAAATACAAAATACGTCAGACGTACTTAACACCTGAAGATTCAAAAAATATTTCTTAGTTTAACATAAATTTGGCGAGCAAAATCTGCATATGTCCTATGGGATGAATATTTTTTGCTCAATATCATCATATCCTGAATGCAACCAATTAAAAATTCACAACAAATATTATTCCGGCATAGGAAATGAAACACTGAATACAACTAAACGAATGAATATTTCGATTTTGTTCTCATTATATCCGGTAAGTAATAACATTTTTCGAGTAGAATCATATCTATTGAATGGTAAGGGAATGATACAAAAGAGCAACTAATAATAGTAACAAATATCTATTTTACAAATAATTATATCGTATCAATCTAAAATTAGTATCACAAATGTGAGTTGTAATTAATCAATTGAGTTTTACTTGACGAGAATTTACGCACCTCTCAACAGGCAAGAATAAGAAAAGAGATTGATTATGATATCAGTGATATAATTAGTAACATAATGCTTCGATATCAAATAGTAAAGTTAGAATACTAAAGATATTTCTAGGAATAAACATGATCATTTCGGATAGATAATATCAATCATGTAAAAGTCAGATATAAAGTAATTAGTTTTTAAATAATTAAAACTAATCGTAAAATTACAAATTTCAAAGACCAACCAACAAAAAATATCCCATAGACAACGGAATATGATAGTTCATCTGAAGTTTTCACACTATCCAAATTTCGAATATATAATAAAATAACAAAAACAATTAACATCTCGATTTATTTATCTTAAAGATCTTGACTTTTTTTTTTTTTTTACTAACAATAAAAAACTTTTTAATCATCATATCAATTAACAACAGTTGTAGAAAAAATATCTGATTGAAATCATGATTGTTTAGCTAATGGTGAGATCAAAATCACACCATCACCACGTACAAATAACATTGGAATTTGCCGTTTTGTTGGCTAGAAAATAAAATAAACAAAAATTATTATAATAAATAATAAAATATTGTTTTAATTTACTCGATAAATTTGTTCAAATGTTTCTTCATCAATTTCAATTGTTGTTATTGTTTCTTCAACTTCACCCAAAACCATATTTAAATGTTGATCAAATGCCTTTAAATAAATAAAAACAATTATCATCATCATATTCGCTTCTTCTTCTTTTTTTTTTTTTTTTTTTATTTACGTGAAGACGACCACGTAGTTCACGTTCATTACGCATTTTAACACAAACTCTTTCATCAAGACTTAATCTAACAAGATCAAGTGGTTCTTCAACTGATGTTCCTGTTGTTGTTGGTGCCTGAATTCATTCAAGAAAAAATATTTTTTTATACTCACAAAAGACAATAATCTTTTAAATAGTACTTACTTGATCACTTTCGTCTCCCATTTCTTGTCTTTATTAATATTGAAATTTTCCTTTACAAGCAAATGAATATGTAGAATTATGTCATCTTATTAGTGACATCTCTCATAGAAACAAGAAAAATACATACTTAAAATATTAAATTAAATATCTTTTAATTAAATTTGATTTTTATTAAAATAAAAATTCAAATAAAGAATTCCTTGAATAATTAAATAAGATTAAGTTAATTGAATGTTTTTTTCCATTGGTAGAAAAAAAAATAAAGAAGTGATAGAGGAGAGGTGAGAGAGAGGACAGACAAATGACATCAGATCAATATGGCGACAGACATAGAGATTAGTATTGCTGCTTCGACTAGTGCAGAAGAAGAAAAAAACAATCGATTTTAAATTAATTTCTTTGATTGATTTTTATTATCAATTACCTTAGAAAGTTTTTGAAATCAATAAATAAGAATGAAATTAATCATGATTAAATGGATTTTAGTGTAATTGTAAAGAAGAACTATGTGTAATCATTTACTAAATGAATCGTTTTTCTTCTTTTTTTCTCTAATTTAGATTTATTCTCTTTTCTCGAATGGTGCCTGTTCACGGTATTGACGAGACGTAGACAAGAAAGCCTAAGATCATCTATTATTTTTTACATACTCGTGGCTAAAATTCGAAATCGGTTTGTTTTCATCTTCTATTTTGTTTTTTGTTAATATAATCATTAAATTATGTAGAGCAAAAGTGGATCCAAGTGGATTCCAGCCTGGTCTTGTTGACACGCCTGGTGCTGGTGGAGTTTGGCAAGGTCCACCACCAGGTTCGCAACCATCTTCACAAATTCAACAAACTCCAGCTCATTTAATTCATCCACCACCTCCACCTCATCATCATCCTGGGATTAATCCTGGACGTATACCAATTATGCCACCACGAGATGTACATTTTCCGTAAGAGAATTTTTTTGTTTTTCGATATTTTATTAATCGATTTAATATTTCTTTTGACTTAATTAGTCCACAACATATGCGATCGTTTAGGTAAAAAATAATTTTTGACTTTCGTTTTTATTGAATTTTCTATTATTGTTTATTATTAAGGCCATCATTACCTCCTCCTCCTCCTCCGTCACCTGAATATCGACTGCACGATTTAAATAAGCGTTTATCAATGAGAACAGAAGTAGAAAACAATTGATTTAAATAATAATCATTATAAAAATATAATGTTTTCTTTTTTTTTTGAGGAATGCGATAGTCAATGGTGGGATGCATTTGTAAATGAATTTTTTGAAGAAGATGCTACATTAACAATATCAATTTGTTTAGAAGATGGACCTAAACGATTTAGTATGTTTAATTATTTTGTCTAAACTTTTGTTTTTCTTTATTATTACTTTTCTTCTCGTAAAGGTATCAGTCGTATATTAATTCCACGTTTTTTTCGTACATTATTTGATGGTGGTGTTAATGAAGTTTATTTTCAATTGAAACAAGCTAAAGAAATTTTTCATAGTCCAACAATATCACTGGATTGTGAACAAGCATCAATGGTAACTTGTTTTGGAAAACCACCACATATTAAAGTAAGAAAGAAAAAATAAAAGAAAATTTCATTTTTATTTTTATTTTAAAGGTTTGTACAGAAGGACATCTTATACTTGAATATACATTTGATGATTTAATGCGAATTAAATCTTGGCATTTTGCAATAAAACAATTTCGAGAATTAATTCCACGAAGTATTGTTGCCATACCGGTATGAATATTATTTAAACAATATAGAAAATCAAACTCATAGATATTCATTCGAACTATTATGTTAATGTTAATAAGTGATACGGTTTTAAATTCTGCATCTAAATTTTCTCATAGTTCGATTTTTGAACGAGACTAATAGAATGAAATTTCGGATATATTTATTTAGTTTTGATAAATCTAATAAAATTTATTGTATTTAGACGGATAATCCAAGTTATCTTGATCAATTATCAAAAAATTTAACACGAAGTGGATTAACATCTGTTATGTTAAATTTTCTTAGGGTATAAATTTATTTATTTATTTTTATTATTATGTTAACTATAATTTATGAATATTATAGTTGTGTGAAATTCTTGAACCAATGCAAGAATTAATGTCGCGTCATAAAGCAACAACATTTTCTCCGCGTGATTGTTTAAAAACGATTTTACATCAACGTTGGTCAAAAACATGTTCAGGTAAATATATAAAACCATTGTTTTGTTTTGTTTTTTTGTTCTTCGATTTATGATCAAGGACAAATATTTTTCTGTCAAGAAAACAGAATAATAATCAAAAACAAAAAAAAAAAAAACTAATAACAAACAAAATAATTATATTTTTAACTTTTATTCAGAATTTCCTCTGAGTCCTTCATTTTCAACAACATTACCATGTCAAACAGTTCTAGTATCAGGTATTCAAATAGATACGCTTTCACTTAATTACTGCGCTCAACACAATATATTCTTTTTATTATTTAATAACAACTTGATATTATGATTTGTTGGTTTTTTTTTATATTTTTTAGACAGTCGACCACCAGCAAAACCGCGACGGAAAAGAAAATCAACAGCAGCTAATAATGCTAATACACCAGGAAATAATAATACAACTCCAAATCCTATGCCAACAACTAAAGACACTAATATAAATCATTGTACAATTTCAACACCAACTAAAAAACGTTCACCAGCTAATACAACTTATTCTCAATCAGCGGCACAAGGAGCAATGACTCCGAATATAAATAGTATGCCTGGGGTAAATATATATATATCAATTATATCACTTAAATAAATAATATATTTAATATATATTATTATTTAGGATGTAATGATTGTTGGTGAACCATCATTAATGGGTGGTGAAATGGATGATGAAGATGAACGATATATAACTCGATTAGAAAATACTCAATATGATCCAAATGTAGCAGCATCTAGTCATCATCCACCACAATATCTTTCACCAACACATCAAATGTTGCCAGGATTTCACTCACAACAACAACAACAACAACAAAATCCAAATCTTCAATCTTTACTTCATCAAAAACAACAATTTATACCCAATTCACCACTTGTACATACAAATCAAATAAAGCGAGAACAAATGTCATACCCTGGATCACCACAACAACAACAACAACAACAGCAATTACCATCAATGTTTTCTAGTGGTGGTCCACCAACACCAAATACAAATTCAAATATATTTCCACCATCATTAACACCAATCAATGGAGATTTATCAACAGGTGGAAAACGAATATCAACAACATCAAATATATCCGTATCAGGAAATACATCAATAACAATGAATAATTCTTCCAATTCTCCACCAACACCATCATCGACAAATCATAATCAGGTTTGATTAAACAAATTCATTTTAAATAAAAAACTTTGTTCGTCATTCTTTTATTTAAAAGAACTGCTTGACGGAATTGTAGCAAGATTTATATGTTAGACAAAATAAAGGTGTTTTAATTGTGAACGAAGAATTTAGCAACATATCTTTCGGTTTGTTATTTACTAATTATAGTCTATATGCTTTTACAACAGAAAGATAATGTTAACTCTAATATCTTATTAGAAGTTTGTAAACACGTCGAACAATAATCAACTTTAGTTTTATTTTCATCACATTGATTATGAGATGTATTATTAAACATATTTGATAATAATCCTACAGTAGATTATAGTTTTATAATTATGTATTAGCAGCATCTAGGATTTAGTTTTTTGAAAGTTTTCTATTTATCTTATCATAAAACGAAGGACATTTTGTTGAGAGTAGTTACCTGGTTGGGGATGACAGCGAAGGCTGACACTTCAGAATAATATATATTTTTTTTTTGGTACAGTTCAAATGTAAAATATATTCCCAATAAATTAATCTGGACGGGTCCAATAAATACCGATAGCTCCTCAACAAGACACATTGAAAAATCTAAAATCGGTCATTCATTACTATTGGATGTGTCTTCTTTTTTTTCTATATGTGAGATGTCTTTACTGAACATCTCAAATGTCAACAGATGACTGGTTTTAGATACTTGAGCGAAACAATCTTATACTAAAATGCTTAGCTTTTTTTTGGAATGGATATATTCTAAAGAGAACCATGATGTAGATGAATGAGTCTTCATATTTTCTACTCTATCTTGATATAGATACTAGATTGATAAAACTGAAACTTAAAAACAATGGTTCGAGCTGTTTTTGTTTTTTGTCTAGAATCCTTCCACGCCAGTTCCACCATCATCAACAAATCCTCCGACAACCCCATCGAATTCTTCCTGGAATAGTTCGACAACTAATCCTAGTAATTCTTCTTCATCAAATAATCCAGGTATTGGTGAAAGGCAACAAGAACCACGTACGCCACCGGCTACACCTCAACAACAACAACAACAACAACAACAACATCAAACAATTGCTACAGCCTCATAAAATGAAACTAAAACTTCATATTAGCAAAATAGATATCTTTCATTTTCTCATTTCTAAGAAAAACAAGGAAAATAAAAGCTGATGCATTTTTAATTGTTCTATGTAAAAAGCTTTGTTGTCTGTGTTTCTATCTCATTAGTCTAGTTCTTATTCATTTTCTTCTCAAACCAAACTTTTCTCTCTCTCTTTCTCTCTCTTGTTGTACATTTATTGTTTTTCAATTTCAATTTTTCATCCCATTCGATAACAATTTCCCTTTTTTTCTTTTTTTCTCTCCATACGCATTCCAAAGATCTGTCTATGAGATCAGAACTGATATTTCAATTAAGATCCTTTCCTTTTTCTTTTTTTTTGTTTTGTTTTGAAAACTAAGAACAACACAGAATCTTTTCTCCGTATTTGTTTTCTATAATTAAAATTAATGCATTTGTGTGTGTGTGTGTAATCTATTTGTTTTTAGGCAAAAGCATTTTTTTTTCTTTTACAAAAAAATATGCTTTATGCATTCATATGTATAAGAAAATAACAGTGAATATAAATATATTCTCCTTTTGTTTTGTTCTTCTTGTGTATATGAAATTCTTTTTCTTGTCTCAATGATAATACACGAATGATGATGTTTTCCTTCGTTTTTTTTTGCTTTCTTTTTTTTTGTCTTTGTTGCTTATTTGTTTTTTTTTCTATTATCTTTATTTAAGAGAAAGAAAGACAATATTGATATATATATATATATATATATATTCATATGCGAATATTTAAATTACATCTATTGATGTTTTTTTTTTCTTTTCTTCTAGATTAAAAACGAAATGATGTTTAGCCAACTAATATTCAATTTCAGATTAAATAAAATAAAAAATGACAGACGAACAAGAACTTCTTGATTATGACGAAACAGATGATGCACCACAACAAACAGAAACAAAAAGTGGAACATCACATGGTAATAGTGGAACAACCAGTGTACAAAATGGTGGTACAACTGGTACACAAAGTGGACCAATACGAGGTTCATATGTATCAATACATGCCAGTGGTTTTAAAGATTTTCTTCTTAAACCTGAATTACTTCGTGCTATTATGGATTGTGGTTTTGAACATCCATCCGAAGGTTTAAAAAATAATAAATTTAAATAAAAAAAACAAATTTCAAATAAATGAATTTTTCTTTGTTTTTCTTTTAGTTCAACATGAATCTATTCCACAGGCTATTCTTGGTACAGATATTGTATGTCAAGCCAAATCGGGTATGGGCAAAACAGCTGTTTTTGTTCTTGCAACACTTCAACAACTTGAACCTGTTGATGGACAAGTAAAAAAAAAAAAACAAAAAATCAAAATGAAATTTTTCATAAAATATTCTTAAAAAAATGAATTAATTTTTAGGTATCTGTTATTGTACTTTGTCATACACGTGAATTAGCTTTTCAAATAAGTCGGGAATATGAACGTTTTTGCAAATATATGTCATCAGTCAAAGTAGCTGTTTTCTTTGGTGGTTTACCATCTAAACATGATGAAGATATTTTAAAAAAAAATTGTCCACACATTGTTGTTGGAACACCTGGTCGAATTTTAGCATTGGCTAAAAGCAAAGCACTTAATTTACGTCATGTTAAACATTTTATTATCGATGAATGTGATAAAGTACTTGAATCACTTGGTGAGAATTTTTTAAGTTTTTTCTTTTGTTTTTGAATTTAACTTTGTTTTTATTTTTCTAGATATGCGTCGTGATGTTCAAGAAATATTTAAAATGACACCACATGAAAAACAAGTTTTAATGTTTAGTGCTACATTAAATAAAGAAATTCGACCGGTGTGTAAGAAATTTATGCAAGATGTAAGTTTTAGTTTTTTTTTTTTTTATTTTTGTTGATAAGATATTATGCTTTTATTTTCACTTTTAGCCAATGGAAATTTATATTGATGATGAAACAAAATTAACACTTCATGTAAGTATTAATTTTCAAAAAACAAAAAAATTTAATTTCTCTTAAAAATAGAAAGATTTATTATTGTATCGAGTCTATTTGATATAGTATTATTATTTGACTGATGCGATAATTTATAATGATTCGTTTATCTTCGGGATGGTAAAAGTGGACTTCATATTTTTAAAAATATGCATTTTTGGAGAGTTAAAAAAATTTCATTCTTCTATTTCATCTATATAAACATTCATATGAATCCAGTTAGCCTCAAATGAATACTGATTACAGATGAAATCTCATTCATTCGAACATGGCTTAGAGACATCTGATAGAACATGCTGATAACATCATACAATCAAATTCAATCTTTATTTATATGATAAAATATTTTGAAATATATGTGAATGAATATGATCCACCTGAGATCTGTACAAATCCCAAATATGGGAATTCATAAAACGTATATGTCCCTAATAGAAGATTTTGTTAAATCAAAGTGATTTATGTCATAATCTTGATAACTATTCTTTCAAAAGCATCAAATGATATGAAATCGAAATAATTTAACTTTGTTTTAATAAAGGGTCTTCGTCAACATTATGTTAAATTACGAGAAAATGAAAAAAATCGTAAATTAATTGATTTATTGGATAAATTGGAATTTAATCAAGTAGTTATATTTGTTAAATCGGTACCGCGTTGTACAGCTTTATGCAAATTATTAACTGAACAAAATTTTCCTGCTGTTGAAATTCATCGTGGCATGCCTCAAGAAGAACGGTTTGTTTGATTATCAAATTAAAAAGATAAAATTCAATAAAACTTCGTTTGATTATTTTTAGTTTGGCACGTTACAAAGAATTTAAAGAATTTCAAACACGTATTCTTGTTGCAACCAATTTATTTGGACGTGGTATGGATATTGAACGTGTTAATATTGTATTTAATTATGATATGCCGGAAGATACAGATACATATCTTCATCGAGTATGTCACTAAATTTTTGTTTTTGTTTTTTTTATTGAATAATTGTTATTTTTTTTGTTTTGTTTTTTGTATATTAGGTTGCTCGTGCTGGTCGTTTTGGTACAAAAGGTTTAGCAATTACATATGTAGCAGATGAAAATGATGCAGCAGTTCTTAATGAAGTTCAAAAACGTTTTGAAGTACAAATAACTGAAATGCCCGATGAAATTGATGTAGCTACTTATAGTAAATATATTCATATTGGTTTTCATTTTTGAAATTGATTCTATTATAAAATTTTATTTTCTAGTTGAAAATCGTTAATATTCTCGTCTCATTGATTGAAATACGAAAAAAACAAGAACACTAAACATTACGTTTTCTTTTTTTTCTTCTTGCCTATTGTAACGATTTCTTTTTGTTTTTTTCTTGTCAACAAAACTTGTTTGTATGCGTTTTGAAGCATATGAATTTATTATTCTATCTTCAAACTCTTTCTTCTATTTAGTTTATGTGTTGTCTCTGTCACTTTTTTTTCTCATTTTTCTTTTCTGTTCATTTCGATACTATATAACCAAGAAGAACAACAACAATTTAAAATTTTCTTTAACGCACACACACATATATATGGTTTTTTCTTCTCTTAGACATTCGAGGTTAGAAACCTTATTTCAATTCATATTGATAAAACAACACATTTATGAAGAATGTATCACAATTTGTTTGTTTGTCTGTTTGTTTGTTTGTTTTTTTCTTCTTCTTTATTTGTCTTTTCTGGTGTGCTCGTGTTAGATTGTGTGCTGCTGAATGTCTCATTCTAGTTCTGGTTATATGTCTGTGTCATTTTTCCATTATCATCTTTGTCTTGTTGTTTTCTTTGTTGAAAATAAAAATCATTGGGACACAGATATACAGAAAAAAACATAATATTTTATTTTCGATTTTATTTAATGAAGATTTTCTAAGAAATCAGAAAACACAAAATATCTTATTATTTTTTTAAGAAGCTTTATAATGAGTAGATCATGAACATCTTTACGACGAAAAAAAAACATTTTATATTTCTATTCTAAAAGCCGAGACAAGATCAACACAGAAGGTCACCACCTAAAGTCTTCTGGATTGGCAAACACGTAGCAGTCGCGGCTAATGATAACTGACTCTTTTTTGTTCACCAATTTTTTCCTTATATTTGTTGCTTTGTAATATTTCCTAAAAAAATAGTGTTTCATTTCTGAATATTTGCCTAAGAACAACAAAAAGTTGAAAATACTATGAAAGAATATTTAGCTAATTAGACAAGATGTTATCGAACATATATATATAGGGTATCCATTTTGATCTTAACTTGTTTCGTACTTAAATTTGTGCAAATGTAAATTTAAGGTGAATTTATATTATTATCATCACAATGAAATTCACTAAGACTTGAGTTAGGTCGATTATGTTATTAGAATAGTTTTTAATCAAGATTGATTATAATTTAATTTATAAACTTAACAAATGAATATGATATGAATTAATGAAATAAATAGTATCTCAGATAGAATGGATGTGTTAACGATTAAATTCATCCTTTCAAATTTTCAACATTTGATGTGCATTCATTGTTAAAAATTTTTAGCAATAGAGTGTGACAGTTAGTGTGACTAAAGCACGGCTGTTCGACTAACAAATAATAAAAGAAGCGAGCATTAAGCATATCTGTGGTAGTTTTACATCTTGTATTGATATAAAATAAGACACACATATTCATTTATGATTATATTTCTTTTTTTGATGCATATAATTACTCGATCGTCTTCTTCGTTCTGTGATTCGAAGTTAGTTTTTCTTCAATCTCAATAACAAATCATGTACACTTTTCTAATACTAAACTAGTTATCAGTATAGGTCTTCTATTTTCTGATAGTCACACTATGAAAGACTGCAACAGTGTATTAATACTCATGGACTATATTTTTAACATTTGCATTGCCTTATTTAAATACTTTTGTCTGTATATATCACTTTAATTTATTGAATAAAGGTATTCTTAATTTTTCTTGATGCTGTTTCAACGTTAAAGTCATAAAAATGTGCATGATCTATTTAACATTTCTTTTTTTCGAACCCATAAAAGGTTATAATACGTATTGAAGTTAATGTTGACAATTGAAAGTAATGTCCATAGATGACTTTCTTATGAAAAAAAAAAAAAAAAAAACTTTGAACACTCCTATGATTGATAAAAAAAAATCACCCTAATACCCTCGAGCAGAATGTAGATAATTAAATTTTTCATCGTAAAGATATTAATGGTCGACTCTATATCATCAAGAAAAGAATTAATGACTTCTTTTAAAACATAAAATATTCACGATTGCATCGAAAAATTTATCATAAGTTTATTTAAGTTTCATCAACAAACGTATTTTATTTTCATATTGATGAACTTGTAAAAAATTGTTTGAAAATCTTTATTTTATCACGTTCAATGACAGCGATTTGAATAGAACTAATTCCAAAATATTATTGATTACAATAATTTAATATATATCTCATATAATTATATTTATATTATAAAGGAGAATATAAATTATTTATTCGCGCCATGTAGTTCTTTTTCAACAAAAGAATTCGAATATGTCTATACTAAATGATTAATATGTCTAATAAAAAGATTGACCGATCAATGATTGATAAAAATTTAGTTCGAACAAATAGTGATTTAACTGCTAATACAAAATCAAATAATATCCAAGATAAAATGAATATAAAAAGTCAAGAAATGAATCCATCACCTGGTAACATTCTTCTTCCATCAACAATTGGAATTCCACCACGAAATGGTAGTCCAGAAAGTCGTCTACGTGATCCTCGTATTCTTTGGGCACCAGCTATAAGTATTAGTGGTAAAATTGATCAACCATTTGTAACACCACAATATGAAAAGAAACAACGACGTATTGCTGAAAAAAGTGAACAAGTTAAATTAAATCCAAAAATTGCAACAAATCATGATTTGAGTCATTTAACAAGATTAGGTAATGATAAAACAAGATTACCTATATCATTTATTCCACATAAAATTATTCCATCAAAAAGACCATTATCCATAACACAAAGAGGTAAAACCTATGATAAAATATATGATATTAAAATAAAAATAATAATTCAATTGATCAGGACCCGGTCCAACAAGTTATCAACGATATAAAGGTTATGATCAAATGGGTGAAGAATATATTTATACTCAACAACCTCGTATTCGTATTCGTCCGTTAATTGGTCCAAAATTAAAACGTGAACGATATCATATTGATATTAACGATAAAATATTGTTTGAAAAGAAAAAAAATTTTCAAGATATAAAACCATTTTGGACAACAATTGGTACTCGAACATATGATTCACGTTTACCAAATGCTCCAATTTCTACAATTCATCATCGATTTGATATGACATGTATCTATTGAATTTTATTTTAACAATCTTAATATAATTAGTTTTTCGTTTTTTTAGTGAATACAGAAGACAAAAAAAATAAATTACGAGGAATGACTATGCCTGGACCAGCTATGTATCCAATAATCAATACTAATAACGAAACAATAAAAAGAGATATATGTGGTATTCGAGGTGTTACTATAGCATCAAGATATCGTGAAAAACGTTTTGAATTTTCTGGTCCTGGACCAGCAATGGTTGAAAGACAATTATTAGATAAAGGAGTAAGTAAAATATGATTTCATAGAACATATTAAAATATATTTTCTTCTATTAGTATAAAAATATTCTAAGAACATCTCCAGCTTTTACAATGTCTTCTCGTTGGTCTCCTTATTCACATACATATACGGATGAATGTTCTGACAATTTTTTTTGACTATCTATTTTCTGTTTGTATCGTATTTTTTTTTTCCTTTTACTATCAATATTCTTGTATAACGTAAAATTGGTCAGTATTCTATGTCTACCTCTAAGTTCTTCTCATTTTTCTTTCTTTTTGATCTATGTTCATGTTTAGTGCTGATGCATTTGATAACCTTAATGATGATACTCATTCTTCAAACACTTGTCTATGTGAACATTAAAATAGTTCTAATTGCTCTTATTTTCCTTGAGTAATTACCGTGTTGTCGTATGGTTATGCTTATATACATTATCAACGAATAAAATGCTGAACGAAGGTCAGGCGTTTGCATATGAATAAGTGAAACAAAATCAATTGAATAAAATGAATTTCCTTAGAATAAAGACAAAAAATTGTAAAATTGTGATGAACATGATTGCAAACGAGAAAGAGAACATTTGGAATTAATATCAATTTGATACGATGATAAAATAACAACGTTCAATGACACAGTGAATGGACCATGAATAAAAAAAATGACAGACAGGTGGTAGTTTGTTGTTTTTTTTTTTTTTTTTTTTTCTTTTTTTTTCTCTCTCTCTTCTATTTCACACTCTCTTATTATATGAAGAGAACATTTCATGCATAGGTGATTGATTCAACAGTGACGGACATCAATGGGCTGTATTATTCGTTTTCTACTATTGTTATTGCCATTATTAGGTAAAGAATATTCATAATCAAATTTTATTTAAGAAAATATTAGAGAGCAAAATTCCATAGAAGCTTTAATTAATAGTTTATATTCAAAACATTTGAAAAGAAAAAAAAAAAAAACCTCATTATCTTTTTTACGTTTGATTCGAAAAATTGAAGGTCAAGATGAATAAATAGATATTAAATATAAATGAAAAGATGTTAAGACTTTAAGAAATATATTTTCTACTTATAGTTGATAGTAATACATGTAATCAACAAATTCATCTTAATAGACAACAAAATAAATCATCAATTTATTGTTCATCATGTTTAACATATATTGATGGGAAAATATCAGCTCCTAGTCTACAAATAGAATTACCATCATTAATACAAATAACTGGTATTTTTATTCAAAAGTCTAATCAAAATCAAGAAAAAAATTCGGTAAAATAATTTTCTTTTTTGTTTTGAATTTGTTTAGTTTTGATTATTGAATATAATTTACAAATTTAGAAAATAAATTCATATTTTATTGAATATCGACGAACACAAGATGGTCCTTGGTATTCATATGGAAAACGTCGACAACGAAAAGTATTTATAAAAGGAAAACAAAAAGAAAAAAGTTAATCATTTTCTTTTTTTGTTTTCAGTTGATTATCGAACGACGTCGTTTATTTTTTAATGATAATGATAACGCAAATAAAACACGTACACTTATTCCATCGATTATTGCGCGACAAATTCGAATTATTTTCGGAACATCATCCATACCGATATGTATAACTATTCAAGTCTATGGTTGCCAATCTGAAAGTAATTATGACAGAAAAAAAAGTAACAATTATTTGTAGAAAGTATTGATGAAAATATTGTTTAGATGGTCTCATTTCGACACGTTTTTCTCAAAAATCAATTCTTAATACTGATTTAAAATATGATGGATTGATTATAAATTCAACTGCTCGAGGTAAATATATTTAAAATCACACAATTAATTGAATACAAAGATAAATTTTAATATTTATTTGTATTGATTTATTATTAAGGTGGTTTAGGTATGTTAACTGATGAAGATACAAATCATTTTGTTTATTGGTCTCCATCATCACAACCAATTTTACTTCTTTTTGCTTTTGATACAATAAAAGAATTTCAATCAATTAATCTTGATATAAAATGTTCATTATGGTTATCATCAAGTTGTACATTAAAAATAAATGTTGGTATATTAGAAATAGTTACATCAAATAATCTTTGGACAAATCGTTTTCAAACAATTTCAATTCGAAATCATTTTTATTATGATAATACAACAATAACACATCTTATACTTTCTGTACCGAAAACAAAAGGTCAATTTGTAATTATACAAATAAATACAAAAGAAAGTTTAGCACTTAGTGAAGTAACATTTAATAATCGAATTGAATATAATGAGGATGATGATGATTATTTAAATATAATACCATCATCAATTTATATTGAAAATAATCTACATCGATTAGAATTATTAGCATTAAGTTCCATATCAAATGAAATAATACGTAAGTGTAAATTTAAAAAAATAAAAATTTTAATTAATTTATTATTATTGAATTTAAAAACAAAACAAAATAGTTCATCATAGATTATCATATTTATTAATTTTTATGTTAATCATTTGTGTTATACTTCTTATGTTTTTACTTATTTCATATATATTTAAAGATAAAAAACTAAATCATATTCCGTAAGAGTTTATATTTAACAAAAAATAAAAATTTTATTTCAAAATATTTTTTTTTTTTATAGAATAATACCTGAAGAAACTGAACAAAGTTTAACGATGTCAATAACCAATTCAACTAATGATGAAAATATTCAAAAGTATTAAAAAATTTTCTTTTTATATATAATAATAAGAATATAATTATTATTTATTTTTAGTCATTCTCAATCAGATCTTTATTCTAATCTTGAAAGTAAATCTATACAAATAAAATTCTATTCTCTTAAATAGAAAAACTAATAGTATATATTTTACCTTTTTTTTGTTTTGTTTTAGATAATGATGATGATGAAGTAACTTCAAATTCTTTACAATTTATTAATTCACAAAAAATTGTTAATGAAAGTGCTAAAGCAAATATACGTATATTGTCTTCACATCGACGAGTAAATAAGATTTTTTTTGCTTTTTTTTTTTTTTGTAAAGAATAAGTTTCTTCATTTTATTTATAATGATATAGTCAATGACACCTAAATATTCTGTTTCTAATTTTCATTCTGTTTATGATCATCTATCTGAAATAGATCGTGATGAAATAATAATCATTCAAAATCTTGGTTCTCAAAATAATCGTCAAGTATTTCAAAAAAAAAAACAAAAGATCTTTCTATTTTCTAATTATTAATGTTTTTGTTTTCGTTTTATTTAGTGTTTTTATAGTGAATATGGTCAAAGTAAATTATCTGTTATCCTATATGAACAAGATAATAATGAGTATTATCATAGAAATTAATTTAAATTAATATTAAATAAACCTTTTTTTTTCTCTCATTTAGATTTTTTAATTTATCAAAACTACTAGATCATAAAAATATAGTTTCTTGTCTTGGCTATGTTTACATATCACCTGAAAGATGTTTTCTAGTCAGTGAATATAGTCGAGTAAATTTATTTGAATATTGTCAAACAATGACAATTGAAAATGAAAATACTTCAACGTAAGAAAAAAAAAAACAACATAAAGAAATTTGTTTTTTGATATATATGTATGTAGGATTCTTATGGAATTTCTTAATGACATTTTATTAGCTTTAATTCATCTTGAATCATTAAATCTAATTGTACGTGATTTAACATTACCGAATTGTCTTATATTTGATAATAAAACAATAAAATTATCTGATTATGCTAAACAAGATGATCGTTATATATCAAGATATGTTCAACAAATGCCTATTCGATGGTTACCTGGTGACATTGTTACAGGAGTAAATATTTACTTTTTCCTATTATGAACTTCTTTTTTTCTATTTTGATTTTTATGTTTAAAAGGATGAAATTTGGTCCGTTCAAACAAATACATTTATGTTTGGTACTCTCATTTTTGAATTATTTCATTTGGGTTCATGTATTCCATATGGTGATTTAAATAATGATGAAGTTTTACAATTCTTTCATGACTTATGGCCAAACTCAAAACAAAATAGTATTGAACCATCTGTTCTGTGTTTTTCAACATATTTTCCACGTCCAAAATTATGTGATGATCGTCTCTATGCATTTATTGAACGTTGTCTTTCATGGTCAAGTCTAGATCGACCATCATTTCGAGAAATAAGTCTCTGTTTAAACGAGACAACAACTGTGCTATCTCAATGACCGTTGACCGAACAGTCAAGAACATATAGTGGCATGATAGCGAGAAAAGAAAAAAAAAAGAAAGATAATACGTGTATTTATTGCTGTTTGCTTTAGTATATAGTAACAGAACAACAGTCTGTATACATTTATCTGCTTTCTAAGAGTAAAGGACGGAGGAAAAAAAAAAAGTCGAAGGAGAAAAAAGAGACAATATTTACCACTGTGCTGCCATTTACAATAGTATTATAAGTAAAGATGTTGAACAAAGTTTTCTTGCGAACAGTAACCAATTGTGGACGAAAATTGTCAACTATGACTTCAGCTGCTCAAAAAACAATTTCGAATAATCGATGTGCACTACTAAAACAAATGCTTTTATCACCTCAACTTGAATTTATTATGGAAGCTCATAGTGCTTTAAGTGCAAAAATTGTTGAAGAAACAGGTTTTAAGGTAAGTTTAAGCGTTCATGATGAACGATAAAATCTTTTTCAATAGAATAAATAATTTTTGCTTCAACTGTTATTAATAAGTATATTCATTATTATTATATCACAAATGAGAAAGAGCAACGTAGTTTTTAATATTTTTTGGCTATAAAAAATTATTCTTATCAGAATTAAATAAATCGGAAGTCCAAACAACAAAAAAAAAGACCGTAAAAACTACAAACGGCTTTTATTTCTTTCTGTTGTTGTTGTAAGATTAATATTTGTTTTTCTTCTTTTTATATGCGCATAGTAAATTTGTTAACATGGTTTATACATAAACGTAATTGATCAGTAGAGGGGTTCGAGCATAATGCATATAAATGCACTGAGAGAAATCATATTATTAAGAGTGTAAGTGACGTTGAAATGATATTTGTCAATAATAATTACACACAATTTTATCGATAATTCAGCTGTGAAGTCAATTATAAATAGTATTTATTTTTAAACTAAATGAACGGATTTTAGTTTTGAGAAATTATTAAATGAATATTGCTCGAAGAATTTCATCATTGGTGAGAAAATGAAACTAATAAAAAAAAATAACAATATGTAATATGTTTCAAGCAATACTACGTTGATTCAATACATGTAACGGTGATCGTGACCCAATTGACTTGGTCCTAGACTCGTTTCACAAAACAATTTTTTTTGTAATATATAACTTGATTTTTATGTCTATAAAGAAAAATAGTTTCGATTATGCTGCATACTTATATGATGAAGTTCAGTTTATATGAGCAATTTTATTGGTTTTTACTAAAAAAAAGTTATTAAAATTTTCTTGTCGTTACACAATTGTAACTCTAATAGCTGCTGTTCTTGTATACTGATCCTAAAATTTTATTTTAAATTTCAAATAATAATTGAGTACAGTTACTGAAAATTCATTTTGTCGTTTATTGACATATATACATCAAATTAGTGTATTTCTATGAGTCATATGCAGTCATTAATAGTTGTACATTGATGATTTTAGAGTTTCGATATTTTAGATAAAAATCTTGAAATTGAAAACGTTCCAGTTTCTTATCATTCATATTATTCTGTGTCTTCTTCATGTTTGGAATAAAACGTATGTTATATATCTACGGATTAATAAAGATAATATAAAAATCAATATTCAATTAGTTATATTAGTGTGCTATTTTTATTTGCAAAAAAAATTAGTATCACCTTATACAAATAATGTAATTTTAGTTTATCATAATCATATATTAAGATTCATTCGCTAACTTTTAATAATTATTACGTTATATCCTAATGTATATAGTATTGAACAATCGATCGAACTATTCAATAATTTAATAACAATGATCGGCACTTTTAAAGACATCCCAGGTCGAATAAAAATGCTTGTGAATGACCGTAAATCGTCGTATATTGATGTATTTCATGGCTAAGTCTTAAAATCGTATTTCTTCGTATCTGATAAGGACAAATCCGGTTGTGATATTGACACATGTAATACACCAAAATACTGTCGTTTTCATAGTGTATACGAATAGTGTTTTCTTCGTCCTGAGATACAATTTCTCGGTTAATTTAAGTCCTAATGTGTCGATGCCCTTTTGTCATTCTATGCAGTCATTGGTATCATAGTTACCATATGGTAACTATATTAGAGACAGACACAGGTAAATTTCCATTTCTAGATCATATCTTTACAGTCTCGGAAAACAGTCTAAGGAGAAGAAAAATTTTTTCTATTTTATTTAATTTTATTGACGGATAAATTTCTTTTTTTTTTATTAAATCAATAATATAGTTCTGTAAACTTGAAGTCAATATATATTGTATACTTTTAATAGAATTTTTTTATTGGAGAAATGTTCATTCCTTAATCATATCAAAATAATATTTTTTATTTTCGAATTCAGACAAAATTCCTCTGAAAAAAGTTTTTTTTTGTTTTTAAATAAGTAAAAAAGAGTTTGATTAAGACTATATTATCCAATATAGAATGATCTGATATTTTTGCTTATCTTACTGATCTAAATGAAATAAAAACTACGGATGAAAGATTAGAACTTAATTAAGATAAAATTTCTTTAAATATGATTTATATATTATTAATTTCTCTAGGCTATTTGGGCAAGTGGCTTATCAATGTCAGCTTCACTTGGTTTACGTGATTCAAATGAAGCATCATGGACTCAAGTTCTTGATATTCTTGAATTTATGGCTGATGCAACAAGAATTCCAATTCTTGTTGATGCTGATACAGGTTTTGGTAATTTTAATAATGCTCGTCGTCTTGTTCGTAAACTTGAACAATTGGGTATAGCTGGTGCTTGTATTGAAGATAAATTATTTCCAAAAACAAATTCATTATTAGAAGATCGTCAACAACCATTAGCTGATATGAATGAATTTGCTTTAAAAATTCGTGCTATGAAAGATACTCAACAAGATCCACATTTTTGTGTTGTTGCTCGTGTTGAAGCCTTTATAAGTGGATGGGGTTGTGATGAAGCTATACGTCGTGCTGAAGCTTATTTATCAGCTGGTGCTGATGCTATATTAATGCATAGTAAACAAAAAGATCCTAAAGAAATCGAACAATTTATGAAAGCATGGAATAATCAAGGTCCTGTTATTATTGTTCCAACAAATTATTATCAAACACCAACCGCAACATTTCAAAAATGGGGTATATCAGCTATTATATGGGCTAATCATAATTTACGTGCAAGCATAAAAGCGATGCAAGCAACATCAGAACGCATTTATAATGAACAAACATTAGTTAATGTTGAATCAAATATTGTTAGTGTTAAAGAAGTATTTCGTTTACAAAATGATCAAGAATTAATTAATGCAGAAAAAAAGTATTTGCCAATTAAATGAAAAAACTAAAAATCTCACCTTTTTTTTGTTCTCTATTATCATTATTATTATTATTATTGAATTATTATTATTAAATTTTTTTGTTATTTAATCAATTAATATTAAAAAAAAAAATGTTTTTCTTTTCAGAAAGAAAAAGAAAATATGAATATCTAACAAGTCTTGATTATACAGAATTCCTACGAGAGAAATACATTACGAACGTCATATTTTTTTTTTGTTTTACTTCAATAAGAAATCTTTAGAGACAACCTATGATTAGCAGCTGTATCATTGACATTATTTATATGTCTCTGACTCACATAAACAACTAACCTAATATTTTCGATGATTTCGTTTAGGGATTGTTCTTGAGTCTCATATTTATATTATAGATACATCTTTTATTATTTGATTGATTCTGAAAATTTTGGTTCTATCGAATAAGGGAAGTACAAATATGTTTTATATACTCATAATATATTGAAATAAAAAAATTTGTTACTTTTCTAGTCAATTTTCTTTGAACTATTCAGTCTAATTTATCAGTTCGAGTTTTATTTGTGTTCTACAAGCTTTTTGAATGATTGTATTCATAAAATATGTTTAAAAAACCTTCAAAAATCGATTTTTTGTTTTTTCTTGAAAATTTGATATTCAAAAAGAAATCCACTAAGAAAAATAACAAATTTTGGTTTCACTGATATATAAGCACTTATGATATATTTTTTAGTTTTCTTAATAAATTCTTATTCAATACGGCCAAAATTTTCTGAACAAATTAAGGTAATCAAAAATATATTTATAACATAAATATAAGTTCAAATGATAATGATGGTAATATAATATAATCGAAAAAATTCGGTGTACTATATGTGTTTTTTTTTTGACCAAAAGGACATATTGTCTCATAGACATCGTGAAAATTTTTTCTTATGAATAACAATTGTTTTCATAATTCTAAAAATAAATCTTTATCGAACATGTTAACATTCGTCTATTTGAATAACACGATATTTTAGAATAAAAAGACATAGCATTGTCACATATTTCTTGCTGTGATTCATCTCCGGTTGATTTTTATGTTTTTTTATATAAAATGGTAATTTTGACTTCTATTCAATTCCAGCTGATGCTTGTCGTTACAAGTATAAAATAAAACGCACACATCAGACATCAATACATTTTAGAAGATATAATGGGAACGAAATATTCTTCATCAAAATACACATCCACAACAATCGATTATATTCGAACAAAGGATGTTAATAACCTAACTCGTCAACTTAGTAAACGAAAAACATCATTTCGAAATAATAATAAATCGAAAAAAAATGACGAAAATAATATTCAACTATTACAATTTGATGTTAATTATGATGAACAACAACGATCAGCACTTCATTTTGCTGCCATTGAAGGTTAGTTCGTTCGTTCGTTATTTACGAAATAAAAAAAAAAAACAAAAAATATTAACATTTAAATACAAATCTATATTGATTTCTAGGTGATGCAACGATTATTGTTGCTCTTTATGAATATATGCATACAGTTGATGTTACTGATAGATCAGGTCGAACACCATTACACTATGCAGCAATTGCTGGAAATGAAGAAACATTAACTACTTTACTTCTTTGTAATCCTGATATAAATCGAATAAGTACAGATGGAACAAGTCCATTACATGAAGCAATTATTCATAATCATCCTGGTTTGTAGATAAATAATTTATATTTAAATTTTATTTTCATTTTTCTCTATGAAGGTATTCTTACTTTATTGCTGCAACATAATGCTGATGTTAGCATTTTATTTCAAGGTTATTTTCCACCACTTATTCTTGCTGTTTATCTTCAACATAAAAATATCGTTGAACTTCTTATTCGTCTTGGTATTGATCCTAATCTTACTGATACAAATATGGGTCGATCAGCTCTTCATTATGCAGCTTATTTTCATGATAATACAGTTATATTTCATTTACTACTTTCATCAACTGTTCATCATACAATTGATATAAATGCTCAAGATAGGAATGGATTTTCTGTACTTGATTATGCTCGATCAAATATTCATGGTATTACAACTATTGCTGATTTACTTTTACAATTAAATGTATTTGATCCTGATCGTGGAGAAATTTCAAATGAAAATATTGAAATTGAAAAACCTAATATTAAAATATTTCAATCATCAAATGAACTTTCATTATTAAAAGAAAAAGATGATGAAATTAACAAATTACAGAAAATAAAATCTAAAAAAACATTTAAACTTGGAAAGAAATCTAAATAAATAATATCAATATTAAATTATTATTTGTTTTTTCAATAATTATAAAATTTATTCTATTCTATTCAATAAAAAAATACAAATTTTAATTTTATTATCAATTTTTTTTTGTTCCATATGTATATATAAGAATCAGAAATGATTATTGTTTCTACTTTTTTTTTCATTTTGTTTTTCTATAATGCTTATATACTTTAATGGGGCACATGACATTTATTTGGTTTCCAATTCGAGAAAAAGAAAGAAAGAATGCTATAGATGTATATGACATACGACGCTGTTTCTCCACCATCATAAAACTTTTTTTCCAACATACTCATAGGCAGTTTTATATTGATTGTTGACGTCTTTCCATTAACTATCAAGTGTATTTGTTCTGTTCTGTGCTTATTTTTTCTTTTTTTTTTTTTTCTATTGACAACATCGTCAAGTTGTAGATTTTTCCTTTTCTGTTACTACTGCCGTCATTGGATAAAGAAGAAAAGCCGTCGTCGGACTAAAATTAGTCAAGCATGCAAAGTGTTCGTCATACAATCATTGGAAGATCAGCATATTCAATTGCATATTAGAACACAAATAAACACAAACTATTTATTTTAATTGTAATACGAGAGATAGACAATATTTGATAAGGTCATACATAATTTTCTTAGGTTCACCAGTACTAATACAATCCAATGAATAATTTTTCTACATCATTATCGTTAAATTCAACGTTTACATCAACATCATCGTCGAAATCTATGTCTACAACAATATTATCATCAAGTTCGACGTCTACAACAACATTATCGTCAAGTTCGATGTTAAATACAACAGTAACATCAACACCAGGTTTAATATTTATCAATGATACTATTTTTCATATTATTACGAAATTACGTAATGGAACACAATTATACAAAAATCAAATTGCTGATTTAATGGAACCTGAAAATTTTTCTGTTCGTGATATTCATATTATTATTTGGATATTCAGCATTGTTACTTATGTTCTTGCAATTCCAATAGCTATACGATTTGTTCGATCAAAAGCTTATTTAAATATAATTGATTATTTTTCGTTTCATATTATTCTTTGTTCATTTATTGCATGGATTCCATCTTTAATACTTATACTTTATCATTGGTTTCAAGTATTTACATTGAGACTTTGTCGTTTGCATTATGTTATTTTCTCAACAAATTCAACTGTAAGTCTTCGATAAATTAAGAAACCAAAGAAAAAAAGAAAAATTCTATTATTTATTTATTTATTTTTTTTTTCTTTTAAGGTTCCACTTTTCTTTATACTTTATATGATTGTAGAACGGTTTCTCTATGCTCATCCATCATTTAAACAAAAATTTACACGATTTTCTAAAATGTTTTATATTCATTTATATGCAATTTTTACTTGGCTTTTGACAATGCTTATTTATGCTCTTGCATCACCATTTACTCAAGCTGATGTAACTACAACTATATCAATCTATACAAATAAATATTGTCCATATGACTATTCTAAATTACGTTCAATTGCAACAGCTCGTTCAATAATTTATTTTTGTTTATTTCTACCAGCTTTAATATTAATTGGTTTTGTTTTAAGATATTTTTATCTTATGCGTGGTACAAATCAAGTTCCACCAATACAAAAATTATGGACAATACGTGTTACATCATTACTATGTGTGATTGTTTTTTATGATGTCTATTTATATTATCTTGAACATATTACTGAAACATATAGATCATTTTTATTAGCATCAATATTACGTTCAAGTTTTTATTTATCACAATTAATTATAATTGCTTGTACAGAACCATATTGGCTTGAAATATTAATTGAACGTTGTGCTTGTTTATGTTGTTGGATAACTGGTCGACGACGAAAACCAACAAGACCAGTTGCTATAACAACTGATACAGAAATAAATACTGTACAATTTTCATCATCTACAGGACATTATTCACTCGTTGATGATACAATTAACGATGAATTTGATGAAGCTACTAGTGGAACAGAACCAACATTACGTGTTGTTGTTTAAAAACAAGAATCTTTTATTATTTATTAATATTCAAGAGTTTGATGTATTTGTGTGCGTAAAGCTCGAGATTTTGTTTTTTCTTCTTCTTTCGTATTGATAAATCTTGTCAAGGACAAGTATAAGTGTGATAATAAATAATAAAATTTTATTGGTTTATTATGTGCATATCTGAAATAGACTGACAGGAAACGAAAAATATATTGAATAACTAAAAATGGATGCACAGGAAAAAATATATCTTTAGAATAATATTAATTGAAAAGTATAAATGAAATATATTATTAAGCTTTTTTTTCCTGTCTTATATCATTATTTGCAGGATATTGAAATATTTGGAATGAAAAAGGAAGTTTTTCATGAAAGATATGAATTTCTTTCCTTGTTTATATGCTTGATACTATACTGTGAAATGTAATCAAAAACAAATTTTATGGTTCATTGATTTTGCTTCTATCATCATTTCTATGTGCATGATGAAGCTACGAAAGTATTGACATGTTTTAGTCTTGTCATACGTACAAGATGGAGACATTTTTCAAAGCACGTAGTATACCAGTTAGTTTTCGAATTGCTTTTATTGGTTTATTAGGAATTATATTTTGTCTTATTGGTGCAGCAGGCATAGTTTTATCTATAATTGAGTTGTTTCATGGTCGACCAAGTGTTTCTCATTATGATGAAAGTCACGGTGGTTTAAAAGTTGAAAATCCACTATGGCCATCATCAGGTAACAGTTAAAATTTGTTTTTGTGTTTTTTGGAAAAATATTTTATTATGGTCATTGTATTTTAGGTAAAGGCTTTTGGGTTGGTCTTGTATTGTTAGTGACAGGACTTGTTGGTATATTAGCATCTCGGGAATGGACTCCTCCATCAATTTTTGGATTTACTGCACTTGCTGGTGCGTCAACTATTCTTTCATTCTATTTAATGATAACATGTATTATACCTGTTCATTATGATACGAAATATTCTGATACATCAAGACCTCGTTGGCAATTAAATGAACTTAGTATTAATTCATTATTGATTGCTGTTGGAGGATTTGGTACTATTTTAGGTGCAATATCAACTCTTGTTGGGAGTTATTTTATTGGTTGTTGTGTTAATCAACGTGATAAAAATGATTACATTGATGAACCTAATAGAATTGCAGTACTACCATTAAGAGGGTATAGACGTGGTGGACCAAATATTAGACCTAGAGAAGGTTTCTAATATGATGGATTTTTCTTATTATGATTATTAAAAAGAAAAAGAAAAACTAACTGCATTCAAAACATGGATCTTATTTCAGTATAAATAAATTCTTTTAATAAAATATTCATTAATATAATAGACCAAATTATATCTTATTATTGTAGAGATAAAAAGAATTTTATCAATGAAATATGATATCGAAAAAAAATCAGATTATTTAAAAATATTTTTCAATGGTTACATTTCATATGGTCATTCTTATGAAATACAAGTCAATAATGATTCATATGGAAAACGGAAATGATTCGTGTTAACATGTATATGTCGTTTAAAATAATATTATGATTTGAATAATTTATTTTTCTTTAAATAACACGACAAGTTTGATAGAAGTTATAAGTATTTAATGTATCTTAATTGTGATAGAAACTTAATCGAATAATAAATATAATTAAATTGAATTTTAAATATTTTATTTATCTAATATCATATTACCAATGTGAATTTCATTCTATGTTATAGTGAAATATTTTATTTTTACTAGTTTCGAGAATAGTAGAAGAAGGAGAAGGAGATAATAAATATATTATGTTTCAAGAAGAAAAATCCCAATTGAGAATAAATAATTTGCAAGATGTTTTCATTTTGGAAATTTATCAATAATTGTATCAAATAAACGAATAAACATTTATGTATAACGAAATATTTAGTTTTATCAAAATCGTTGATTATTAGGTTGATAATTTTCATAAATTTATATGAATTTTGTAACACGTTTCAAATAATAATAATAGTAAGTTATTTTTAAAGAGAGAAACAATTTAATATATACAATTTTCTATTCAACACAACTCTTACATTGATTATTGTTAGAGAAGAAAACTAATTAAATCCTTTGTTTTTTACTTGTTGACAGTTCACGTTGATAGAAGTAATTCAAAGTAATTGACTGAAATTATTTGTCAGTCAGGAAAATAATTGATATATTTGTTGATCCTGGAGAAATGGTTATCTTTATCATGGAATAAAACAAAACTTG